AAAGTTCTCATCACACCCTGACCAGGGCAGCTCAGTTGGTTCAGCATCACCCACAACACACAAACGCACCAGTTCGCCTCCCGGTCAGGGCACAGGCCTGGGTTGCAGGTTCAGTACCCGGTGAGGGGGATGAAGGAGAGGCAACGGATGGACGTTTCTCTCTCACATGATGTTTCCCTCCCTCTCTTTGCCCCTCCCTTTCCCCTCTCCCTAAAACATAAATAAATAAAATCTTTTTTAAAAAAAGTTCTCATCACAAGAAAACACGTTGAGATGGGCGTTAACTAGACTTAATGTAGAGACCATTGGTAATACATGCCTATATTGAATCACTATGTTGTACGCCCAGAGTTACCATCGGTCAATTACACCTCAATTAAAAAACAAAAAAAGAGTGAAGGAGACGCGCGGGTGGGCGCAGGGGGCGGGGCATGGAGAGCGAAGCCCGGACCTGCCCCAGGTAAGGCAGCACCACTTCTGGGAACCGGAGCCTCCGGGAAACAGGCCCGCCCGCTCAGTGCGGCCTTCGACGGGACGGAGCGCGTTTCCGGCCCTGCAGTCGGCGGTGCTGCGTCACAGGAGCCGGAGAAAACCCCCAGGGCCCCGGGAACAGGGGCCCAGGCAGCCTCCAGGGGACGTGCTGCCTGGGGCGGGGACGGCCCCAGCCTGGGTCCCCGCACTTCGGGGAGCCCCTGGGGAGCCGATAAAGGCCCCAGAAGGGTCTCGTCAGCCCACGGAGCCCACAGAAGGCCTCCCGGGCCTTGTGCCCCTCGGTGGGTAAGCGGCTCTGCCGCCCGAGACGCTCACTGGGGACCTCGGAGTGGCCATGAAGCCAGCAAGTGGCCCCCCGACCTGGCTCACGCGGGTCTTGCGTGTGGCCACGCAGACGCCGACTCTCGGGAAGGTCACTCCCGCCGCTTCCCAAACAGCCTCTGAATCGAGAGGCGCGTCCCCGCCGTGGAAGCGGCGCACCTTTCTCCTTCCGGGCCCCGGCCGCCGCTCTACGGAATGTTTCACCCCCTGGCGTCACCAGAGAGCAAGACCCCTGGTCTCATTCTGCTCGGCCACCACAGCGACATGCCACGCGCGCGGCGGCCTCAGCTGCAGACACTGATCTCGCGCAGCACGGGTTGGAAGTCCGAGGTCAGGGCGCGTGAGGCCTGTTCAGTGACAGGACCCTCCTCCCCTCGCGGGGCGCCCCCTCCTGACCTCGTGAGACCCCCATCGCTCCCCAAAGGCCCCGCCTCCCAATGCCGTGGCAGCGGGGGCTGGGGCTTCACCACGTGAATTTGGGGGAACAGGTTCAGGCCAGGACAGCCCTCCAAAACACAGACAAGCGCGCGTGCTCACAGAAGCGAGCCCGTTCTCTCTAGAAACGAATCTGCAGTGCGCGTTTCACAAGCAGCTCCAGTGCGCATTTTCCAAACACAGGCAGTAACCGCGTGACACTCCAGCCGATGGAGCAACACCCACCAGGGCTCTTCTCCTTTCAAAGGGGTTAAAAGGACCAGTGAAACCCGCCCCCCCCCCACACACCCCTATTCTCTCTCCCCCCTGCCAAATTTCAGTATGTCATCCATCCCTGTCTTCCCAGGGCATGAAACGCAGAAGGGAGTATTTCCTGGTACTCTTGCAAGGGTCCCACACGGGTGCGAGGAGAAAAGAACATGTAAATTTGGGGCGAGGCTTTAGGGGGGCCCTTCAGGGGAAGCAGAAGCGCAAGGCTGGCAGGAAGATGACAGCAGAGGGCCTGAGGGTGGGGAGGAGACAGGACACAGTCCCCCTGGGACCTGCAGTGAATCAGGCCTTTGCCTAAGTGCTGGCCCTCTGACCTTGCAGCTGGCATTCCTTGGAAGAGAGGACACCAAGGAAGGAATCGAGGTCCACTTAGCACTGCTGGGGGGCCTGCTTTGGGTGCCGAGCTCTTGCTGCTTTTGTTTGAATCTTGGTGGACACTCACCCCCTACACTTGGAGGTGTGGATGGGTCTCAACAGAGAAAAAGAATATGGCTGCACCTTGACTTTACCTTCCGAATCATGTACAAATGCATGCCTCCCGGCCCTGCCGACCGCACGGCCTAGGAAAGGCAGTCCTGGCTTAGTGAGATCGACCCAACACAAAGGCACCCCGGAGGCAAGTACTTAATTCTCTGAGGCTCAGTCTCCTCATCTGAGAAATGGGAGCCATGACTCCCCTGCCAAATGTAGGACTGAGAGAAAACACACCCAGACCCGGTGTTGTTTTCTCCCTGCCCCCCTTGCCCCCCAAGGGAGAGGAGGGGAGCACTCTAGACTCTGAGCAGAAAGACAATATTCAGAGACGATCAACCGGGTGGAAGGTGGCAAATTAATGGGAAGGGATGGGGCGCCTCGGGTTTCGTAAGGCCGAAGTTTATACATTCAATATTATGTGAGAGCCCTTTTTGGAAAAGCAATACACAACTGAGAAGATAAAATGAGATACCAAAGTGTTTATTTAGAATGAGAAAATAAATCACAAGCTACCAAGTTTTTAAAGCAGCTAAACACCACTACCATTGCAAAAATATATATCAGCTCATTTCTAATATTCTTTTACACTACATTTTTTACTGTACTCTGCCTCTCTATTTGACAACCTTTTGTCATCTGCTCTTTAGAAAGTGAATCCAGTCTTTCCTTTAGAATCACTGACTGAAACATTTATTATGGTGGAATTCGAAGGTTTTATTAACACAGATACAATGGGCACTCAATGTCTATTCCTTCCCTGCGCTGCACAGCCTGGCATGGGGACTGGTGCCCCGGCAGCCGCAGGGCTGCTGTGTGCCCAGTGCTCTGCGGTCCCCCGAGGAGACACCGCGGGCAGCCAGCACAGTAGGGCTGGCTGCGCATCAGCCGCTCTTGGAGCCCAGGAACTTCCGGAGGCCCCTGGGCAGCATGGGCTTTTTCTCGCTCCTCCCCGACCTGTGCTGGGCACCGAGATCCAGCCCTTGAATCTGCTGCACACGGGTTGTCCGTGCGTCTGGGTGTCTGCCGGTTCCGCTTCATTCTGATCTGTCGGTCTGATCGTGGTCCTCTTTGCCACGATCTTGGGTTTCACACAGGGTCTGAGGGTGGCCATGATGCTGAGTAAGGCCACCTCCATGGTGGCCACCTCCGTAGGCAATGCTGAGGAAGAGCCGTTTCTTATTATTGATCGTGTAGACGTTTCTTTAAACTTTGCCACTTCTCGTTATTTAATGTCGAGACATTTCTGGAGGAAGTGGCACGGCCACATCAACCCCGCCTGAGCGAGCACAGCGAAGGAGAAGTCTGGAGGGAGGAGACCGGGGGCCAAACAACTGGGGAAAACCTCTGACCCTGCAGATTTTCACAAAAGCATATGACCCCGTGGGCCCAGTGCCAGCAGGCACCCCTCCCCCACCGTGGCCACGGGAGAGGTTGTGCAAGGGAGGGCCCTGGGGTTTCAGCTTCCAGTGGTTCCGCCTCCAAAGAGGAGAAGCTGCAGACAGGGCCTCATCTAAGGGTGATGCACGAGCAGCGTTAGGTGGGTGCCATGCGGGGGATGGAACCGGACGCCCACTGTGCACCGATGGTCAGGGCTCCCCATGGAGTGGGGAAGTGGAGGCCAGACAGCCTTTCTGAGAAACACTGATGGGGTGACCTGTCCCCATTGGGCGGGGCCCTGCAGCCCTCCAAGTCACCTGTCGTGACTTCAAACGCCTTACGACCTGAGGAGCAGGAAAGTGGACATGCTGACCACCAAGGGCTTTCCATGGCCAGCTGCTGCAGGATTGGGGACAGTTACTTGCTTTGGGGACATTGTATCTTTGAGGTGACAGCAAGCTGCCCATCCAAGTAGGAGGTGGGTGTGCTCCCTCAGCACGTGCTGTCTCTCAGGGGGAGAAACAAGTAGCCCATGTGGGCAGGGGAGGCTGTACCACGCTCCTCAAAGACCACTGGCTTGTCACTGCCCCTGAAACTGTGACACAGGGACAAGCCCTCCCTGGCCTGGGCAAGGATAGGCGCACGTTTGTCCTTTTCTTCAACAAGACATGTTTGCTTCCTCAGTATAAAACATGTCCATGGGGGAGAAAAAGAGAACGCTTAACCTTCACCACCGGGCTGCCCACTTTATGTCGTGTTCCCTGCGCCCATTTCCCACGCATCATTTTTCCCGGATTCTGGCTTAGACCTGCCTTTCTCATTTGCCACGCAAAGGTGTCTCTCTGTCTTAAACAGCTCACTCGAAGCATCATGCAAACAACCGCCAGATGGGCTCCTCACACGTCTTCACGACGGTGGCCAGCTCCCAGAGTTCGGCAGCGGGAATTAGAGGCAGGAAGTCCCAAAGCAAAGCTCTGTGTTGCCAAACACGCAGTGGCCAGCTAGCCCGGCTGCGGGCCGGGGACCCCACTCTCTACTGCTGGCCTCCCCTCCCCCCATTCCCTTCTCCGCCAACTTCCTTCGGGGCCGAGCAGGTTCGGGCGCGTCTCCGGGAACCGCCGACTCGGATCCCTCCGGGCGGCGTCCAGGGAGCGACCGCGCAGGCTCGAGCTCGGAGGGTGGGCCGCACTTCCTCGTGCGCCCGGGTGGGGCGGGCCCGAGGCTGCGGCGCCGCGCAAGGCGCCCCCAGGAGGTCGCACGCCTGCCTCACCCAGGCCTTTCCAACTGTATAAACACCTGGTTCCTACGTACTTCGGAGTCTGTTAAAAAGCAAACACTCAAACTGCACGCAGGCGTCCTCGCGGCGCGAGCGAGGGACGCAGCGGCGGGGGGTCCGGGCCCCGCCCCCCCAGGCCTCGGGTTTCGCAGGGTCTCTCCCGGCGGGTGGCCAGTGCCCGCAGGGGCCGCCCCGCGCTCCCGGAAGCCGGCTCGGCGCCGCGAGGACCCAGCCGGGGCCGCGCCCGGAGCCCTGGGCGGGCAGCAGGAGCCCGATTCGCAAGGAAGTCCCGGCCGAGGGGCGGGCGGGGGCGGGGAGTGGGAGGGAAGGGGCGGGCCCCGTCCCGGGCGCACCCGGCGCCGCCTCCGCGGCGACCTGGGCGGCTCCGCGGACCCCGGGCCGCGGCCGGGCGCGCCTTGAGCCTCCGCGGCCAGAGCCCGGCCATGCGGCCGCCGCCGCTGCTGTGGCTGCTGCTCCATCTCGGCGCCGCGGCTCCCACGGCAGGTAAGCCGGGCCGTGGCCCCCAGGCCGCGTGCAGGCGTCGCCGCAGCGGGTGGGGACGCGCAGGGAGCCCCGCTGGAGGGTGCGGTGGCAGCGGGGAATTCCGGGCAGGCAGCGGGCGAAGCCGGGGGACCGCTGGGCCCCGTCTCCCCTCCCGGCGTCCAGGCCTCCGCGCCGGCCCCCAGCTTCTCAAAAGGAAGGACGGAACCCGGGGCCAGGGCCGCCCCCGCCGGCCGCCCGGACCGCACGGCGCCCCCGCCCACTGCCTGGCTTCTCGGTGCCCGGGCCGCCGGCCGCGGTCCGTGCCCCGGGATTTGGAACCGGGCGAAACCAGGGCGAGGTGGATGGGGGAGACCCAGAGCTGTCCGGACCCCCGGTGTTGGGGGGCAGCGCCTGAACCAGCCTCAGCCCAGCTCTGCGCCCACCCAGACAGCGCCTCACCTGGGCTCTGCCTCTTCTTACGTCGGACACTCGCTGACCATACTTATGAGCCACTATTAACGATGTTAAGAAAGGAAAACCACAGAGGTGTCGGGGTTGGGGGAGAACATTCTCTGTGCGAGTATGGTGCGGGTTCCTCCCCGCGGAGCGACCCGCGTCTTGGCGGGGCAGCACGACGAGTCTCAAGGCGGCGGAGGTTTCCTCCCGCTTGAAGTTTCTGGGCTTCCTTTCTTCCTCCAGCGCCCCCTGCCCAGACTCTTACATTCCGAGATCCTTGGTAAGAGGGGCCTCACCTCCGAGGACCTCAGGTCCTGGCTTTCCCCGGAGTGGCCCCAGGGTTCCGGGTGGGGGTTTTGATCCCTGACTCCACACCCGCGCCAGCTTCAGGCTCTGAGCAGCTGTGGCCCGCACCCTCCCTGGGCCTCTGGCAGGTAACGTTTGGAGTTTGGCAAAATGTTGGCAGTTGCCCGAGCTGGGTGACAGGCAGGCAGTGGTCTGGGAGCTGCCTGTCCCGTGAGCCCGGAGGTGCAGAGAAGGGTTTGGAAATTTCCTCTGGCATTGCCACACTCACAGGGCACGTCCATCTTCCAAGGGCTTGGCTGCGGTTGGACCCTGCCAACGCCTGGGGCTGTGTGGTGACTGAGGATGATGGGGTCCCTCACCACAGACCCTTCGAAGAGCAGGTTTTTGTTGTATTAACCTCTATTGTTGTGGCCTTTGACGTTTCCCCATCCTACACAATTTACAAACTGGATATTTTTAAAAGAAACTCTTCATTAGTCAAAACACAAGGTGAAAGAAAATAGTAACAATAATTACACAGTAAACGGGTTGCAGAGAAAACCGTCCCCATTTTTTATAATTTACAAGTGTCCTTTAGTGCCCATGAAATTGCTTTTGTGGTCAGAGAACAGAAATAAGAGGGCTGGAAACAAAGGCTAGAAAGGGAGACTGTACTGTCTACCCCTTGGAGGGGGTCAGAGCTGTTAAATGTTGCCCTTGACCAATCTGTAGCGGTTCTTTCAGCTCAGCATTGGAGTCAGGTAACTGCCCAGCAATCACTGAAGTATTTTGGCTCCTGTCTGGAGCCGCTGTAGCTGCCGCTCAGGTCTCCCGTGGGTTGGATCGGTGTGTGTGCCACAGAATTGCGTGACCATGATGTGCTCACTTGAGTACACGATCGATCCTCCGAATGTGCTGAGAAACTTCGGAGAAAGACGATGCATCCCCAGCAGCAGAAAACTGCTGCGGATGAGGTTACGCCCACAGCTCCCCTGGCCCGTAATTTCGACAGTTGAAACTCCGTGGTTGGGGTGTTTGGGACAAACTCTCTCAGCAACAGTAATAACTACCCTCCCTGGGGCCAAGGTGCAGAGGGCTCATAGATCGTACACCAGCTTTCTTACTTTTTTCTCCCATTCTTTTGAAGTAGGTCACAGCCCCAGTTTTCTCCCAAACAAACAAACAAGCAAAACCATCCCATTTTTGGAAGCAAAATACAGTCTGTGTAAATGAGCTGATGTCCACTATTGGCTAAGGAGAGTAACTTCCTGGTTATGGCTGAGAATTGAGAGGACTTAAAAATTTTTTTTTAGAATGAACACCTTTATCACATGAGCTGGGACAGGAGGGCCTTGATCAGCCTCAGCGAGAAGCCTGCCCCTGGCCCCCCAGCACACAGCCGAGTGTGTGTGCACACGTGCGTGTGCATGTGCTCGGCCCCCCCCGCCCAGTCTCAGAGCCGTGTGTGCAAGCTTGCCCTGCAGGGACTGCCCCCTGGGAGACAGCTGATGGTGGCGTTCTTCTTCCTGTCACCACGCTTCTGAGTTTTCTGTGACCGTGGTTGTTGAAAGCCTCTTCCTCCTCTGGTGTCAGCTCGGCCCCCTACTCGTGGCCCTGGGCGGCGGTGCTGAGGGGACTCACCCGCTGTCCTTGCTATACGCTCTCGGTGAGCCCGGTGCAGGCCTTTCCTGGGGCCTTACCATGGGCCTGTTCCCTGTCGGGTGCGTCGTGGGCAGCATCAGCCTCAACAACCCTTGTTTTGCACAGACGGCACTGGGGGCCCAGCTGGCTTGGGGCTTCTTGCCACCCGCCCGTGGATGGAGCTTCCTGGCTCACGATTTTGCTTTTTCTTGAGGCTGGAAAGAGCCAGGGATGTTTTCTCGCTTCTCCCCTGCAGGGTGCCGGGAGTGGGCTCACTGGTATCCATCACGATTGGCACTCATCATAATGAGCCACTGATGTCCAGATCTTAAAGGGTCTTCAGATGCTAAGATTAAATGATGAACTTTGGTGATAATTGTACTGCATCATCTGTGTGTGTGTGGGACTGTGCTGTGCTCGGCTAAGACCCGGGAGAGCCTGTTTTTGACCCTAGAAGTCTCACCACCTGGGTCCAGGGTGGATCGGGCTGGCGAGTTGGGGCAGGAAGGGGGAGCAGACGCAGTGCGGCGATGAGCGGAGGGGACACGCCCGACACCCAGCTTCTCTCGCTTTGCCGTTCACAGTGCAGGAATCGCTGCCCCACAGACCCTGGTGAGAAGGAAGGTGGGTGGGGCTTTGTACACCCACTTAGGGCTGTGATTTTGTCTTATAGGAGCTGGGTGTCAGGGTGTCGTCAGCGCCCCGGCAACCACCTAGGGGGACTCTGTTCCCTGTTGTTTCTGTAAAAATGACCACCAGCCACGTGCCTAAAACAACAGACTTGTTCTCCTACAGTCCTGCAGGCCAGAGGTGGGGTGCAGGTCTCGCTGGGCTATGGCAAAGGTGTTGTCGGGGGTGCGCTCCTTCTGGGGGCCTCCAGGGAGACTCATCTCCTTGCCAGTGCCCACCTCTAGAAAAACACTCTCGTGACTTCATTGGGCCCCCCCCCCGATATTCCAGGATAACCTCCCTGTGTTTAGGTCTCCTAAGTAGGAACTGGAACTTCACTGGTCCCCCTTTGCCACGAACCTAATGTGCAAGGTGGGCAAACGCAGGGTGTGATGATTACAACAGCTTTACTACCTGGAAGAAATGTTACAACCATCCACCTGCTTTTTGCCCGCCCAGTGCATTCACAGGATACAGACATCTGGGCGGGGGAGACACTATTCTGCCCTCAGCAGGGTCAGGCTGTAAAATGCGGTGCCCAGCCTGGAGCCGGGCGCCCATCTGGGGGTCCCCAAAGGCAGGGTCCGGAGGCTGCCTTTCACCAAGGCACCTGGAACAGCCCCACCTGAGAGGTCGTGCCAGGCAGCAGCGTCTGGTGCAGCCCCCCGTGGGAGGTCCCGCATCCAGCCCGCACTACGACCGTGGGAGGGGTGGCAGCGCTTCCCTGTTGCTGTGGAACTGACTCCTCGGGTGCGGTGTGGGCAGGACCCTGTGGCACAGGTGACACAGGTGACAGGATCAGGGTTCCCGCTGAAACCCTGCGTCCTAAACCCTGCCCTCTTCCCACTGCGGACAGCAGGTGCCGTGGCCCTGAATATGGGCCTTGAGAGCTGCCCACGTGTGCCCACCGCCCGGCTGCCTGCCTACTGCTGGCCGCAGCCCCTGAGTCCAGAGCAAGGGGAGGGCGAGGCGAAGGCAGGGCAAGCCCACCTGTGCTGTGTGCAGGGCTGGAGCGGAGGGGTGGGCGCCGAGGGCACAGAGGCCGAGGCCGCATGCTCTCCGGAGGGCTGCTACCTGTACTTCAGCACGGGATGTAACAGCCCCTGGCTGACAGCGACCCCCCCGCCCCCCACACAGCATTGTCATCACGTTGGGTGCACCATGGGCCAGCCCAGCCGCCTGGCCGCGGACATACTGCGCTCGGCGCTGCTCAGATGTCCCCTCGGTCAGCCCGTCCCAACCCTTTGACGCCTGTGCAGCCGTCACCCCCGTTTTGGAGATGAGACAGGTGAGGCACAAGGCGGTTAAACAACCTGCCCGTGCTCCCCCCAGGGTATACAGGCAGCCGGTGCCAGAGGCCCTGCTCCTGACCAACGTGCGTAAACCCTCAGGGGCGGGGACTGGCCCCAGGCCGGGTTGTCTGCAGGAAACAGCCCTGGTTAGGTGGCACTGGAGCCGAGACCTGAAGGGAATGGGGTACAGAGCTGCGGCAAGACCGGGAACAAGGTTCCAGGTGAAGGGAGGTGCAGGGTGGGAGTGTGGCCGGCAGTTCCCAGAAATGAGGAGGCCACTCGGCCATAGTAAAAGGGTGAGGCTGCGGGAGGCTGGAGAGGCGCCGGGGCAGCAGTGGGAGGCGGTCACTGAGCGGCAGCCCTGAGACTCGTCTCTTCTCTGAACTCGGGGAGACGGGGGTTCCAAACACTCAGCTGCAGAGCAAAGCTGCGGGCCTGGCTGCACTCCTCCGCAGGAAGAAGCAGTGGGAGGCCCTCCTGGGCAGGGCGGCCGTCACTCACGGTCCCGGAGTCGCTTGAGGTGGAAGCCCTTTCTGCAGCCCTGGGCCCCTCGGGGCTTTCTGTCGTAGCCGAATATCCAGTTGAGGAGTCGGGGCACCATGGGAAGGACGAGGGGGGGCCCCGCTGGCTACACCCCATGGACGGGCAGAATCCAAGTGTCCTTAGCAACATCCCTGTCCTGAGCCCTGGAGCCTGGGACTGTGTCACATCATGTGACAGACGGGACTTTGCAGATGCGATCAAGTGAAGGACCCTGGGTCGGGGGGTGACCCTGGATTGCTGGGCCCGTGGGTCCGGTACACACCCAAGGGCCCCTGAGAGAAGGGAGAGGGAGGCAGGAGAGCCAGCACCCGCCAGGTGGCAGCACACGGCTGGGGGCAGGGACACGGGCTGGGGAGGGTGAGCTGGAGACGAGTGGCCTTCTGCCCCTCGAAGCCCCAGAAGGACGCAGGCTGGCCCGCCCCTTCGCCTGGTGACGCCTGTTCTAGCTCCTGCCCTCCAGAACTGTGTGCACCGAAGTGGGGGGGGGGGTCGTCGTGGGTGATGTGTCTCACATCAACAGGAACCTGACAGAGGAGCGGAAAGGGGTCTCTGAGGTTCCCCGAGGGGCGCCCAGCCCTAACTGAGTGCTCCCCCCTCCCTGGGAGCAGAACTCCAGCGGTGAGCTCAGTCGTGGTGGGGTGGGGGGCGGGCGGGCTTTGTCTGGGCCTCAGCAGCCCAGTGAGCCAATGCACCGCCCCCCCGAGAGAGCAGCCCTTCCAGCTTTCAGGAGGCCTGGCACGAACTGAGACAAGTGTCACTGGCTCGGGAGAGACCTGGAGTGATGGTCAGCCCAAGCTCGTAGCTGTGGAGATGATGGCATGTAAACAAATGGCCACAGACTGTCGGGGACTCACCTGTCAGAAAGGGAGGTGGCAGGCCCCTTGGCTCACGCTCCTTTGGTACTGGATGCGTTTACTGAGAACGTGGGCTTGGAATTTCCTGCTTTGGATTCTAGAACAGCATGTTTTCCAAACTTTCCTTTCCACTCTTTGGGCGACTTCCCTTAATCTTATCTCACAGAAAGGTTCGTCGTTACAGAGCTTTCTTGCCAGAGGGTGGGCTCTGAGCTGGGAAACTCGGGGCCAGTCCTGCACAGTATCTGGGGGTGGGGGGGAGCGTGTGTCTTCCCTGTCACTCCGAGGAGGGGATTTCCTGGGGCGTGTGCTGTTCTGGTGTTTGTGGTTCTCCCACGTCCATGCTTGAAAGAATCACCCGGGAGGCTGGTTGGGAGTGCAGGTGGCCTGGTCTGGGGGGGCCTGAGACTGGGGAGCTCAGAGCTTGTGATGCTGGGGGTCCCAGAGAAACACAGCTGCTCTGATGAAACACAGAGGGTGGGTCTTGCCCTCCCACGTGCCTTTGGGCTTTGCACGCCTGCTCTGGTGTGCATGTGTATGTTTGTGGTTTTCCACCCGATACCTTGGTACAGAGCCCCAGGTTAGTGCACGTCACGTGGCCGCCAATTTAATATGCATCATAGCCTGTGGAGATGCCATTATTTACTTATGCTTTACTCTCGAAGGGGACACTGCCTGTAAGTGACCCACCTGGTCACGCTCGCACACCAGCAGGGGAACAGGTTTCCCACGCCAGCCAGACTTGGCCTCCAGGGCCTGCCCGGAAGAGCTGGCGCCTGCAGGTGGAAAGGCAGCCCCACGCCCTCTGCTTTCCCATGGGCTCGGGCAAGCATGCGTCCTTAGTCACAGGTGGGGCTGGGGCCCTGCCAGGGAGATCAGGTGATGTCATTTCTGCCCATGGCAGAACCCGAGCTGTCCCATGGCAGCTTTTCAGTACGTTTGTCATTGATTTGTCTCCCTTTCCCCCCCTTCTCTCTTGCACCTCTTCCCCCCGCTTCTCTTAATCTGGGTCCTTTTCAAGACTCTCCTTCCCAGCTGCCTGCCCCTCAAAACCCGAAGATCCGCCTGTACAACGCCGAGCAGGTTCTGAGCTGGGAGCCCGTGTCCCTGAGCAGCGACGAGGGGCCGGTGGTGTACCGAGTGCAGTTCAAATAGTAAGTGGATGTTTCTGTGGGCGTCTGCCTAGGAGCCTCGGGGGTGGAGGGAGCCCAGCCGGATGCTCATTCCTGCCGCTTGGTAGGAGTGTAAGCTGATCCATGGGAATGAGTGCTGTTCTCGGGCTTTTAAAGTTTCCAAGGACAGAGGTTTCACAACCCGAAGGCATCAGAGAACCCTGCTGTCCAGCTGCACGGCCGCTTAGTTCGGTTAAGTTCCTTCTCTCATTTTCAGAAAATAGGCAACACCAAGGTCCTTAGTTGTTACTTGCTTCCCTCATTCAATAAGTTAGCATTGTTGGCTAAGTCATTTTATATCATCAAGTAAACAAAGTGAGAGGAAGGGCGAGGCCCAGCACCTGTGAGGACAGGAACACTTGTGCTACAGCCCGAAGTAGATAAAGCGACCACCATCACCATCTCCCCCCGACCCCCTACCCCACCACCACCGTCAGGGGAAAAAATTAAAAACTTAACAGTTCATGAAGATGTACATCAAAGTGTATATTCACACCCATGAGCAGAAAAGGGCCACACTGTGTCATGGTAACTTGTAGTCAGTCACTAAAAAGCACAGTTGGGCATTGCCTGGTGGCAGTGGCAACTATGTAAAATTTGGAGTGAATCTGTGGTCGAAAACAAGGGGCAAACGTGGGGAAATAAGTTGTTAGGGGAGTGTGTTTCCAGGTGATTTCTTTTCATCTTTAAATGTCCATTGTAACCGTGTTTGCTTCATAAAAATAGATCTAAACCGGGGTGGGGGTTACCTCTGAGTCATACACATCTATTCCTCATTACCAATGTCACAAAGACGATCACCCTAAGAAAGTGGGCCTGTCCCCACGGGCCAGCAGCGTCACTTGCAGGGCCCACTGTTCAGATGTCACCGGGACAGCCTGCAGCCTGGGCCCGGCAAAGCGGGCTTCGGACCCCCACCTGGGGTGCAGGGGGAGCTGGCCCTGCTGGGCAGCCAGCAAGCATCGTGCCCCAGCGCTGGACGAGGAGTTTTCATAAGAGGAAGCCCCAGCCGACGCCCAGACGAGCGCTCCTCAACCGTGAACGGGGGAAGTACGCCGCGGGTTGGCAGCGTGAGGGCCTGGGGCGATCAGAAATATTTTTTAAAGACCTTTTGAGTTTCATGTCACAGACTACCTTGTATCACCTTGTTTTCTTTTCGGAAAGCATTTCGTAGGCAATTTTTTCAGGCTAGAGGTTGGTTTTGGTAATGGAAACCAAGGGTGGAATGAACGTTGAATGTCCCTGTTTGGAAAAGTTATGGGGCCACAACAAAAAAGTTTTGTTTACAGCTGCAGATTGGATGGCAAAAGACAGCTTTACTTTTGGTTTTGATTTAGACACTTTTACATGTTTTGGGCATTTTAGTTACATTAATAATTTCATTTTGATGCTTGTGGGACTTCAGTAAGGCATTACTATAATTATTAGATTGGCCAAAAAGTTCATTTGGTTTTTTTCTCTATGATGGCTCTAGTAGCACTTAGTTTTCTTTAAGTTCATTTGAAAAAATTTTGACAGCTGTCATATCAGTGTGCATTTAAAAAAAAACATCAAAATTAGTGAATTTTTGTACAGCCATTTTAATATTGAAGATGGAAGAAAATACTACACATTTTCTGCATATTATGCTTTATTATTTCAAAAAAGGTAAATACACAGCTAAAATGCAAAAAAAAAAAAAAAAAAGGACTTGTGCAGTGTAGGGAGAAGATTCTGTGACTGATCTAACGTGTCAAAAGTGAAGTTTTCGAAGTTTCCTGCTGGAGATTTCAGCTGGATGATGCTTCCGGGCTGGGTAGACAGACCACTTGAAGTTGACAGTATTTAGAACAATCAACATCATGCCATGTGAGAAATAGTTGATAATACTCAACTTATCCAAATCAATGAAGTTATTGGTGAAAATGAAAAATGTGTCTTATATTACAGAAAAAAACGTATCAACTTTTTGGCCACCAAAATATAACCAAGTGGAAACAACCCACATGTCTGTGGACAGATGGGTGGATAGACAAAACGTGGCCTATTCCTACAATGGGATATTATTTGGCCCCCTAGAAGGGATAAAATACTGGTACATGCTGCAACATGTATGATGCTTGCAGACATGCTAAGTGTAACATACTAAGTGAAAGAAGTAAATCATGGAAGATCAGATGGTGTAAGATCCCATTTGTATGAAACGTCCAGAAGAGGCAAATCTGAAGAGACAGAACGCAGACGAGTGGCTGCCCAGGGCTTGGGGGTTCGGGGGAGAACGGGGAGCGGCTGCTGATGGGTGCCAGGGTTTTTGGGTGGACGGCGAAAGTGTTCTCAAACTGATTTTGGCGGCCACGGCACAACCCTGTGGAATATACCGCGAGCCGCTGAGTCTGCACGTTCAGTGGGTGCGTCGTGTGGGATGCGAACTGGGTCTGGACGCATCCGCCTTTACACGGTCAGCTGGGAGGACACTGCCACAGGCCGTGGCAGAGAGAATTCTGGGAAGTGCAATCCTCTTTCTCCTTGCAGCCCCACCAGCAGTAACTGGTTCGACCTCGCACCGTTGGGCTCCCGCGGGGTGAACTGCTTCAAGATCACCGAGACCCAGTGCAACCTCGCCCCAGCCGGCCAGGCCGCGGCCTTCCAGCCGGAGCACAACGTCTCCCTGCGCGTGCGCGCCGAGCTGCGCGAGCGCACTTCGGCCTGGGCGGCGGTGCCGTGGTTCCAGCGCTACCTGAACGGTAAGCGAGCTCCTTCCCGCCCAGGGCACCACCGCAGCCGTGCCCTTGGCAGCCCGCAGAGAGCTGGGGACACAGACTGGGTGCTAAGGAGGCGGGGTTCACTGAGACTCGCCAGCACACTGCAGCCTGCGAGCCACATCCAGCCCACTGTCTTGTTTTTTAAATAAAGTTTTATTGGAACTCAGGCACACCATCTTCTAACGCGGCTGCTGGCCCTCTGCCACCGCAGAGTAGTGGCAGCAGCGCTGCCTGGCCTGCAAAGCTGAACCCTGCTCTGGCGAGGTCCGCCGGCCTCCGCAGAGGAGGGCACGGCCCCTTTTACGTTGCGGAGAGACTGTGCTCTAACCCTGTGGTGCCCCCCCCTCCTGCTCGTACTGGGATTCAGTAGACGCGTGTTGGGTGGGTGGGTGAAGAGCGTGCCCCCCCTTCCCTGCAGCAGGAGGGGTGCAAGATCCCAGCGATCCCAGCTTGTTGCTCCGAGGGTTCGTTTGTTGCGTGTCCCCAACCCCCACCCCCCTGCCAGGCCTCTTCCCTGTCTGTGGTTCGTGCAGACACACGGTGTGGAACTTACTGGGGTCTGGATTTAAACAAACAAAATACAAAGCAACTGAGGAAATATGATCACTGACCAGATGGTTTTTTAGTTGTCATCCAAAGACAGGTTCTCCTAACTTTAAGAGAGGAAGGAAGAGAAAGAAACATTGACATGAGGGAGAAGCATGGATCGGTTGCCCCACACACACGCCCGGTCAGGGATCCCTCACCCGCAGACCTGAGGGATCAAACCCCCAACCCAGGCTGTGCCCTGACGGGGATAGAACCTGCAACTCTCTGGTTACAGGAGCCGCTCCAACCAACTGAGCCACACCAGCCAGAGCACGCTCTAGACACTTGGTGATGTGTTATGCCATTATTGTTTGTTTATTTTAGGTGTTTTGTAATGGTATTTTGTCTGTTTTTTTTTTAATTTAAAAATAATATATTTTACTAATGATGTGAAAGTAGTATTTTGAAAGCAACATTAATGAATATCTTTCATTGTTTTTAAATGTTTTTGTCTATGTTTTTTAAGGGGGGTCTTATCATTTAGAGACACCTACTAGTGTTTAGGGACAGTAACTACTTGGTGGCTGTCTTCGTTGACGAGCCCAGGAGCTTTGTCGCAGTCTCCTGTGTCTGAGATCCCCTGCACTGAACAGCTGAGGTCAGCGGTGGTGGGAGGTAGGCAGTGATGGGGAGCACAGGTGTGAGTCTGTGTGGCCACGCCTCGCAGTGTGGGCTGCCTGGCTCGTGGCCACCGCTCCAGACGGGAAAGATGTTGGCAGTGGTTCATCCCTGAGTCATCTGTGCTCAGAGAGAAGGCAGCTCGTGCCCCTCCCCCTCCAGATGGTTGGTGTCCGATTCCAGACCCAGGGCCCCTTCAGAAGGGCAGGTCTCCGGTTGCTGTGGCAGCAGTTCAGAGGTTCAGCGACATAATCGTCTGGGTATACCCTGTTTGCCTGTTCAGGCCTCTCCGAGCCAGGAGGGCCCAACCTGGACGGGCCCAGCCTGGACGTCGACCTGAGTTGCTCCAGTCAAGGACACATTAAATGCTTGCTTGATAAGGGCTGGTCCTTCCATTTCTAGCTCACAGTGAGCCACAGCCCTCGGCTGGCGGGGACCGTCCAAAAGCCGTAGCCAGCAGACTCCGAACGGTAAAACTTCCCACACACCGTGCGGCGCCTCATGCCGCAGTAAGTGGGGAAACACGCATGTAAAGTTCCGTGAACACCACTTCTGTTTGTCTGTAGAGAAATCATATGCCAAAATTATATGCCGAAATGCCGAAGTGGTAGGTAAGGGCTACTGAAATCTTTCCCCCTCGGCAGACAAGTGTGACGGTTCACCTGCCTGCACTGTGTCCCTAGAAAACCAGATGGCATGGTTCGTGGCTGGCGTCACCCCTGACCGGGAGACTGCATTTCAAGTGGGACAGCCTGAAATCCTGGCCGGAAGCCCTACCCGTGGGCTTTTGTGCCTGGCCACGCCCTGGCAGGGCCCCTGGAAGCTGCTCTTTGTGAGGTGCTGAGAAGAGGGGTTGGCTTTGTGGCTTTGTGTCCAAGGAGGCTCCTGTGCCTGCCCAGCGTGGGTCTGGGCTCCTCACACCCGAGCTGTCTCCCAGAGAGACCCTGGGACTCGCTCTGGACTGCCGTGTGGGCACTGCTGCAGGCAGGGGCCCTGTGGCTGCCCGGGGCCTTCCCAGGCCCACTTGTGGCCCTGGTGGTCTTGCGTGCCTAAGTGGGACCTCGTCGCCTGCACAAATCTGTGTGTGATTGTGTGCTCACCACATACATTAAGATGCGGTGGACATGCACACGCCGTCTGTGACACAGCCTAGTGTGTGTGTGATTCCTACTGTGTGCACACGTCCAGAGTGTGTGCACGTGCACTTACGTGGTTCTGGTTTCCTTGTAACTGTTCCAGTGACCATCGGACCTCCAGAGAACATCCGGGTGATCCCGGGACAAGGCTCCCTCACCATCAGCTTCTCCCCACCCTTCCACGTCACGCCCCCCACGGCCTACTTTTTGTATTGTGTCCATTACTGGGAAAAGGGAGGACCCCCACAGGTAAGAGCATTTTTTTTTCAATTTTGATTTTCTTTTCTTAGAGTTTCTAATACAGCAGAAAAAAGTAAACCTTGAAGTGGACGAGGAGAACAGGCCACCCAGTGTTGCCTGAGAGTCTGAGGCCTGAGCTGACTTTTTCAACTTATTTTTTAGAGGGAGAGGAAGGGAGGGAGCAATAGAGGGAGCGACACACCCCTCGGCCCGAGCTGGTGGCCTTTCGTGTTGTGGAACGACGCCCACCCCACTGAGCCTCGGAGGTTGGGACTGAGCCGGTTTTAACCCGCTTCTTCCGCACCCGTTCCTCCTCACTTGGAGGGACACCTTCTGCCAGTCCATCGGGGCGGGGGGGCTCTCTGTCTGATGTCACACGGTCCCCATTACCTGGGGTCCAGACATTGCCGGCTCATGGTGACTTTGCCATGCTCTGGAGTTGGGCGAAGGTTCTGGTGGGTCTGTTTCTACAACAAGGAACCCACCCTGACAAGCTTTGACTATATACATCCCTCGGGTTTGGACGGTTTGCAAAGAGGGCCCATGGGAACAGGTGGAAAGTCCACTGGAAGGACAGAGAGTGTCCAAGGGAGGAGGGGCAGGCGATGAGGTGGACAGAGGGGCTCAGACCAAAGGGCCTGGCCGACCCTGCGTCACACAGGGACAAAATGACCGCTTTTCATCGCCTCCAGGGCCTGGCTCCCTGTGCCACACTTAACGAAGTTTCATTACCCGTGTGAACATCGGGATTCCAAATTCCAACATCGTCACCCTTTCCATAACGATAAGAGCGCGTGTGCATCAAACGCTTTCTTGGTGTTTGCACTGGGTAGCCTCGCGCGGCGTGTCCTCCAGTCCCCTGCTCGCCGACAGCCGTGAGGCAGAGCGCGACGCCAGCCCGGGGCTCCCGCCCCCACTCGCGGTCTTCCCCCCACGCCCTTTGTGTGTTCTCCTTCCCATCAGTGCTTCGTGATGGGTCTGGGATCGCCGGGACGGCAGAACTCACAAAAGAACAGCTCTCTGCGTGCAGGGGAAGCTGAGGCCCTGGAGCCCCTGATCCCAGGCGGGCGGCTCCCTGGGGACGGAGCGCAGGCTACGCCACTATTCCACACGACTACCGTGTGTTCTGCTGTCTCTGAAAACGAGAAAGCCGTCCCTTATGAGAAGTCCTGTGTTTCCATAACATGGCACATCTTTTTCTCATTTTCCTGTGGAACAGTGACCTCTGTCCAGGATTAGGGGGAGCAGCCAGGGGTGGGGATGAGGCCTGGGGGAGGGGCAGGGCTGGGGGGCGCGGAGAGGAGACGGCCCCTCCGAGGACCTGCTCATGGATAGCCAAGGTCATTCTGACCAGAACTGTAAGAGGAGCCAGCGCGTTTTAGGTGAGCCTGAAAGCAGGTTGGCCGTGAAAGGCGCGTTCTTTTCCTAGAGTGATTTATCTGCCCCGTTGTCGTGCTTGAAGTATCTCAATTAGATTAACCACAAACTACAAAATGCTCATTTTAAAGGAAAAAATTTCATCCTAGACATTGTGTTTTTGGACCCCGAGTTCCCGCAGGGGTCCCGGGGGCCCTCAGAGGCTGCCCTAAGCCCCGCCTGCCCACGGTCACACCCGAGACGTGTCTGCCGCCGGCTGGGGTCTCCGCGCAGCTGCGTCGCCTGGGCTCGCGCACTTGCTCTCCCTGCGGAGCGCAGGCGTCGGAGAGAAGAGGCAGTGGCCGCTGCTCCGTTCACAGGCGTGGCTGTCGGTGTCTCTCATGTAGGTTAAAGACCACTTGGAGAACAAATTAATTGAGCTGAAAGACTTGAAGCCTTTACGAGTGTACTGTTTACAAGTAAAGGCCTCGCTGGTTTGGAATTCGGGAGGGACTCCTAGACAAGGCCTCTTCAGCAACGTGTCTTGTCACGAAACAGCAGCAGACGGTAAGATGTGCCCTCTGGTGTCCTTTCTGAGCTGGGAAGGAACACTCCTAGAGGAGCGAAGTTGGGGCGCACTCATCAGGGTGAGGGTGGTAGGAGGGGGAGACCAGGGGACAGGGCGAGAAGGCGGCTCCTCAGTGCCGTGAGCCTGTGCTGACGTCCCCGGCCCTGGCGTCATTTTTTAAAAAATATATTTTACTTATTATTTTTTTAGAGGGCAAGGGAGGGAGAAAGAAAGGGAGTGACATATCAACATGTGGTTGCCTCTCACGTGCCCCCTGCTGGGGACCTGGCCCATGAACCAGGCATGGGCCCTGACTGGGAATCGAACCAGTGACCTGTTGGTTCGCAGACTGGTACTCAGTCCACTGAGCCAACCAGCCGGGCCTGGTGTTGTTTTAGGGGTGCCTTCCGAGCTGTGAGCTGAGTGTGTGGGGCAGGGACGGGCCCGGGTCTGTCCACTCCACTGGGACAGGAACACAGTTACAGTGGGCAGGGGAGAAGTCGCCCGGTGTTTGTACCAGGTGTGGGCTGGCCTCAGGTGTGTTCACTTTTATGTTCTCTCAGCCTCCACCAAGCTACAGGAGGTCGCCCTGATCGCCGTGGGGACCTTCCTGTCCCTGACGGGGCTGGCGGGGGCCTGCGTCTTCCTGACCCTGAGGTACAGAGGCCTGATCAAGCACTGGCTCCGCACCCCACCAGACGTCCCCGTCCAAATAAGAGATGTGAGTGTGCCCACCGTCCGTGGGGACCAGGTGGGCAGAGTTGTGGGTGGAGGTTTGGACTGGAAGTGGGCTGGGGTGGTCTCTGCAGGGCGTGCGCGGCACCTTTACCCACAGCAGCTGGGGGATGACAGCTCCCCAAGTGGCCATCAGTGGAAGAGCAGATGGGCCAGTGTGCGGCCCTCACACGGGGCGTTACTGAGCCTTCGAAAGGAGGGAGGGCCTGGCCCCGCTGTGCTCAGAGAGGGACCCAGACACAAGAGGACAAACACCACACAGATCCACGCCTGGGGCCCACAGTCCCGGTCCCAGACGGTGGGGGGCGGTGGTTTCCGGGGAAATGGGGGCTAGCGTTTCGTGGGGACGGAACTCAGCTCTGCAGAATGAAAGGCGTTCTGGAGACGGAGGGTGGAGAGGGCAGCACAATGACCCCAGTCCACTTCACACGGCCACACTGCGCTTCCAAAGGGCTAAGGCGGTACTTTCCATGTTGTGTGTATACGGCCACAGTTTGTTTTTTAGATTTCATTTATTTTTACAGAGGGGGAGGGACAGGGAAAGAGAGGGAGAGAAACATCCATGAGTGGTTGCCTCTCATGCGCCCCCTACTGGGGAGCTGGCCTGCAACCCAGGCATGTGCCCTGACTGGGAATCGAACCCGGATTGTGTTGTTCGCAGGCTCGAGCTCAATCCACTGAGCTACACTAGCCAGGGCCTAAAGTATTTTTTTGATGGCACGAGGTTGGCCACACGGTGACCAGGCCTAGAGACAGGCAGTAGAAGGTCCCTGTGTCTGGGCAGCACGCGGGTCCTGTGCTTTTTGGAGAGCACCTGCGGGGAGACCTGGCTAGGGCCACACAGGCCATGGAGACAGAAGTCGGGAGCACGAGCTTCAGGGCAGACGGGGCGCCCTTAGGATTCTCCTAGAATAAATGCGCCTGGAGCCGGAAGGGCAAGGCCCTGCACACCAGGGCTCAGTGGGGGTCACTAGTGTTGCAAAGGCTTCGGGAAAGAAAAGTTGGGGTGGGGGGTGCTCCTGCACTGCCCCGGCCCCTGGGGACAGTCGGGATATTGTTGGGGTTTGCGGCAGGCTGATAGGAGAGTATTTAAAAGTATTTGCTTCTGGGGGTCATGCCTCAGTGGCTTCATTGGGAACGGAGTCTTCCTGTTGCCACCGGAATGAAGAGGAGCTGGACGCAGCCCCAGCCCGTGGAGACAGCAGTTCTTCTGGAACAGAGGGTCAACCTCATGGTCACCGGGGACCACGTCAGCCTCATGGTGGCCTTCAAAGTGCCGAAATAATTTTAGGACTGTATAAATGTAACTACTTCCTAACTGTTAAGAAGTTGAACTTACATTCGGCCCTTTGGGGGCAACCATGAGGCTGCTGTGGCCCCCGGTGAACATGAGTTTCACATGCCTAGAAAGAGCGATAGTTACCTATTTCCTTCATGTGTTGTGAGGCATCAGAGCGCCCCGGCACCGGGCGGACTACTCGTGTAGTCCCGGCTCGGACCACCCTGCAAATACTGCAAGACTCCCCCGTGGGTGGACCTGGGATGGTCAGGCTCACGGACACAGAGGAGAATGAGTGGGGGGTGCCAGGGGCCGGGAGGGGTGCGGCTGGGCCACCAGCATGAGGTCCAGAAACCCACCACCCGCTCGGGCCACAGCCACACACGCACGGTGCCTTCAGTTTGGTTAGGAGGGTGGAAGCTGGGTGAAGGGTTCTCACTGCCACAAACCCTGAAGTAACCAAAGGACTCTGTAACCCACTGCCACTTGAGGCTGAGCCTGAAGCAGAGGCGGGAGCCAGAGGGACAGTTGGGACCAGAGAAACGTCACTTCGCAGCGAGGGCCTCTGCCTGCTCCTCTGGCCCGCGCCGAGCCCCGGGCTGCTGGCCATAACTCTCCCCCTGCCCAACCCAACCCAGCCCTGTCGGGGACACAAGACCCCACTTTCTCCTTCGCTGAGAGTGAGCGTGGAAGAATAACCCGCACCCCTGCACCCCGGCCCTCAGGGCAGAGCTTGCTTTCCCGAGGGCGATGGCCCTTCCCGCCTTCAGAGTGTGGCCTGGGCAGGGCCTCTGCTCTGGCCAGAGCTGTCAGTGCGGCAGCAGGCGAGGGGTGCTCGGGTTTTGGATGTCCTGTTGGCCAGCAGAGTAGGGAGTTACGCCTGAATGAAACGGTGGCGCCAACTGCAGGGGAAGCTGTGGCACTGGTGCTTGGGGCTGAGGGACTGACACCTGTCCGCTTTCACCCTTGTCAAGTATTTAAAGAACCCGGAGCAGCCCGTCCTGGAGGCCCTGGACCGCGACAGCTCGCCCAAGGAGGACACCTGGGACGCCGTGTCCGTCCTGGAGGCTCCTGAGGAGCAGAAGATGCTCCCGGGGACTCGGCACCAAAGCCCCGGCTGTCCCCAGCCCGAGGGAGCAGACTCGGAGCTGTGACGATGCTGCTGTCCCGTCGGGACAATCAGAGCCTGGGACCCCAGGCCCCGCTGCACAACGGCCGACCGTGCCCCTGAGGCGGGAGGGTCTCATGGGGGAAGCAACTTTATTCTTTCTTTAGGAATTTTCTAATCATGTGATTTTCTCAGATGATTCTACAGAAAAATTAAGATTTCTCCTGAACACTAAAAAGACATGTAATTATTTCTTAGCAAAACGGCTCTGGGACCCCTGATGCGCTTTCTGTTCATCGCTGGTCTTCCCCACCAGGTCACAAACCTGGCCTGTCCCCACAAGGGACACAGGTGGTCCGTCACGTTCGGTCTCCTGACTTAAAATGTGATCACCCCTGTAAATACTTTCCTAGTAATTTAAGGTTTTGGTTTGTTTTTTTCAAACTATGAATAAAGGACTGTAATTGTTAAAAGTCTGTGTGAGGTTTTTTCTCTTCTCTTTGCCATCTTAGTTTGGCCTATTTTCTGCACAGTTTCAGTTTTAAAATTGCTACAACTCAGGTTGTGTTTTCTGAAATGACACCCGGAGAGCCGCCCAGGCCTCACGGTCGCTCCTCCAGCACGTCTACGCCTGCGGCTCGATCCCTCGCAGAGGTTTGAGGGGTGTGTTAGGCGTGGCTCAGTCAGTTGGAGCCTCGTCCCAAACCCTGAAGGGTTGAGGGTTCGATTCCCGGTCAGGGTACACACCTGGGTTGCCGGCTCCATCCCCTCTCAGGGAGCATGTAAGAGGCACCCGACCGAGGCTTCTCTGTCGCAACAGTATCTCCCTCCCTCTCCCCCTCCCTCCCCTCTCTCCTGGATCAATGAGTGTATCCTCCAGTGAAGACAAAAATAAAAGTACAAAAGGGTTTTCAGAAGCCGCATCCACGCCTCCTTTACCGCGAAGGGCCGCAGTGGCGGGCACCAGCTGGTGACAGTGGCAGGGCCCCCTGTGCAGTGAGGCTTCTGACTGTGCAAGGACGGGCTCTTCTGTTCCGAGGGTGCGGGTTACAACTTACATGCCTCGGTATGTGGGAAATGCGTGCATAGCTGCCCCCACCACGCAGGCAAAGTGACACAGCTGCTGTGATGTCTGCTGCAGAAGGAAGCCCCGCCCCCGGCGGCCTGATGGGACAAGGGGAAGAACATGTGCTGACTGTGGGAGCCCAGAGCTTCCAGCACCAGGTGATGGAACTGCACGTGCGTGTGAGCTCGCTCGCTCGCTGGCTCTCGGTCAGGGGGTCTGTGCTGGTGGCAAGGAACTGGCTCTCGGGGCCCAACTTTCTGGCCAAGCTCTGTGTATCCTGCCATCCAGGGTGACAAGAGGTCAGAGGACACCCAGGCAAGTGCCCTTGGAGGCCTCTGCCCATCTGCTGGGTGCACCTCGAGTTGGGCGGGCGTAGAGGAATGTCCAGTGAGAGGCTGGACGCTGTGAGGACCTGCCCGGGCGCATGGAGGAAGTGCGAGGGAGGGGAGCGTGCTGGGCAGGGCACAGCCCGCGGAGGGGACAGGGAGGGGACGCAGAGGCAGCCGACAGAGCGCAGGCGGAGTTCCAGCCCCGAGGGAAGTGGGCAGGTTGGCTCTGTGAGAGTTGTCAGTGTTGGGGTCCAGCCTTGGCAGTTCTCAGGGTCCCCGAAGGATGGACGCACAGGCGGCAAATGGAGTCAGACACCCAGTTGGACGCCGGAGAACAGCCAGCCTCTGTGGGTCTGACCGAACTCTCAGAGTCTGATTAAGCTTTATTTTTATAGAGATTGTTACATAACATTTAAAAAAAACAATACAGGACTTCCGCCAAGATGGAGGCATAGGTGGAGACGCCGTGCCTTCTCACACAACCAAGTTTAGAGACAACTAAATATTAGCAACAGAAAACACAGCCAGAACACAGAAAATTGAACTTTTCGGAGAAGTCTGTTAACAACAAATTCTTCAGTCTGACCGGTAAGGGGCGAAACCAGCAGCTGGTGGAGCGGGGTTGCACAGGAAAACTCGGTCAGATGGACTCAGGCGCGCGGAATCCAGGCGCAGGGTTGGACCTAGTGAGCGACCGAGCGAGCAACCAAGCAAGCAACCTCGGGGAAACAGCGAGGAAGCAGGGCTGCGGGTTGACTGTGGTCGTGCATTTGTGCGCGGATAGACAAGCGAGGGAGTGGGCGATTAGACTGGGACCCAGCGGGTCCCCGCAGGGAGCGACAGGGAGGGCTCCGCCATTTCCCAGCTCTGACCACGCCCCCACATACAGCGTCATAACCCAGCGACTCTGAGTGGCCCGGCCCAGGTGAACCACCTAAGGCTCTGCTCCTACCCAGCGGTGCAAAACAGCAGAGGGGGCCGCCATTTCCCCGCCCTGACCACGCCCCCACATATAGCGTCACAACCCAGCGACCTGAGAGTCCAAGGCGCCGCTTCTCACACTTAAAGGGCCAGAACAGACCAAAAATGGCGCAAGAAGATCTCAAAGCCCCAGAGCCCATAGATCTAAGCGATGAAGAAATAGCAAAACTCTCAGACACACAGTTTAAAACACTGGTGATCAGGATCCTCACAGAACTGGTTGATTATAGCCACAAATTAGACAAATATATGAAGGTGAAACTAATTGAAATGAATGGAATTGCACAGGGCACCAATAGCAATGAAAAGGAAACTGGGACTCAAATCAATGGAGTGGACCAGAAGAAAGCAAATAATGGCCAAACACAAAAGAGTCAAGAAGCAAGAATTCAAAGAAATGAGGAGAGTCTTAGGAACCTCCAGGACATCTTTAAATGCTCCAACATCCGAATTATAGGGGTACCAGAAGGGGGAAAGGCACAGCCACCAGTGGAAAACTTATTTGAACAAATAATAAAGGAGAATTTCCCCAATCTGGCAAAGGAAATAGACTTCCAGGAAATCCAGGAAGCTCAGAGAGTCCCAAAGAAGTTGGACCCAAGAAGGAACACACCAAGGCACATCATAATTACATTAGCCAAAATTAAAATGAAGAAGAGAATCCTAGAAACAGCAAGAGCTAAGGGGACAGTCACCTACAAAGGAGTCCCCATCAGACTGTCAGCGGATTTCTCCAAAGAGACCTTACAGGCAAGAAGGGGCTGGAAAGAGGTATTCCAAGTCATGAAATCTAAAGACCTACAACCAAGATTGCTCTATCCAGCAAAACTTTCATTTAGAATGGAAGGACAGATAAAGTGCTTCTCAGATAAGATCAAATTCAAGGAGTTCATCATCACCAAGCCCTTATTATATGAAATGTTAAATGGACTTATCGAAGAAAAAGAGGTTAAAGAAATATGAACAGTGAAAGGACAACAAACTCACAGTTATTAACAACCACACCTAAAACAAAAGCAAACTAAAAGGACAGCTAGATCAGGAGTGGAAACATAGAAATGAAGATCTCAAGGAGGGTTAGCAATAGGGGAGTGGGAGGAGGAGAAGGGGGGAGAAGGTACAGAAAATAAGTAGCATAGACGGTAGATAGAAAATAGATGGGGGGCAAGAATAGTATGGGAAATATAGAATCTAAAGAACTTGAGACACATGGTCATAAACTAAAGGGGGGTAATGGTGGGGACGGGGGGTAGGGTGGAGGGGAATGAAGGGGGGAATAGAACAACTGTAACAGCATAATCAATAAAAAATAAAAACAATACAGAGGTAACTAGGAAAAATACAGGAAAGTCCATAGATTCAGTTATGTTAAACAAAGGTTAGTTTGACCAGGAGAGCCAACAGTCAGACAATTAGAACTAGCTGTATGTACAGAGTTTTAAATGTCTTATTGTTTATTAAAGTTCTTAGAATTTGGTACGAGTCAAAGGGATACGCTAGATGGAGCAGAGGTAATAGGCAATTTATTACAAGGCCTCTGTGGTGTCTAACTTAGCTCTCTCTCTTCCTGTCTAGAATCTTTCTGTACTTTGGACTCTGACTCCTTGGTAATTGTTTCTATGCGCTCAGTTTGTAATAGTTAACCAGCTTCTCCTGCTTCTTTATCTGTCTACTTCTAATTAATACATATTCCTGTCCAAGGTGGAGGAGGGGCTGTTACTCCATCAACTTTTAGACATTCAGGGGCTACTTCATTAGGGGGACTTTGTTCTATGGCCAAGCAATTATTTTGTGCACCTTCACTGGAATTCTGTGGGTCATTGGACCTGAAACACAGGTGTCTAAAAATCCCACCTATTAATCTCAAAGACAGACAGGCAGGGAGAGACAGACAGGACGTCCAGCCACAGTTGCCTCTGCTGTGCAGATGCATCTCATCTGTCCCCACTGTGTCAAGGGACAGCTGCTGGTCGACTCCCGACAGTCAAGTCAGAAGTTGTGTGTGCAACGAGCTCGAGTGTGCCACTCTGTGTAATGAAAAGGGGGTGCAGCCTTTCAAGGGGGAGTTGGCTGGCGCCGGGGACCCAATTTAGGTGAGGTTGAGCTGGGTTCGGGACGGAGCAAGTGTCCTGGGGCGGGAGGTCGCTGTGATTCAGGGGCACAGAGGCCCTTCCTAGTTGAAGGCAGGGTCTTGAGCTGGTGACAGACTCTGAGCCAAAGCCTAGGAGCAGCCTGGGGCCAGGCTCCCCAAGGTCACTGCCTTTGGGGGAGGGGCTGACGCTCCCCCCAACCAGGGTTCCCACCACTGCAGATGTGCTGTCCTTGCAGACCCCCCCCCATCCTAGCTCAGTGACAGCTCAGCCAGGGGCGGGGCTGGCCTGGTACACAGGGTGGGGAAAGCTACTTCTTTTTTGTAGTATTTTCCAAAAACACTATAAAAATGCCTGATTGATGGAATTGTTCCTCATACTAACTTGGGACTTCATTTCTAGTCAAGCTAAGTACATCATAAAATCATGTTTGAGTTGGAAGCGATAAAGACTGACTAGTCCTGACCAGTGTGGCTCGGGGGTTGGGTGTCCTCTCACAAACTGAAAGGCCACCGGTTCGGTTCCTGGTCAGGGCAGAAGCCTGAGTTGCAGGCCAGGTCCCCAGTAGAGAGGCAAGAGAGGCAACCAATCCATATTCTCTCCCTCTCTTTCTCCCTCCCTTACCCTCGCTCTAAAAATAAATAAAATCTTAATTTAAGAAAATGGGACTTTAACTAAACCCCGTGTGGAGGGTCTATGGTAGTGGGCTCTCACCTCCTGGGAAAAACTCTGCTTGCAGTTGAATTCTGTGCTTGTAACTGCCCCTCCCCTTAACTTCCTTCTTCCTCTCCACCCGTTCCCGTGTTTCGGCATGTGCCCCAGGTGTGCGTGTGGCCGTGTGGCCACCTGGCTGGGTAGCCATCCACCCCTCCCCACCCAAGGAAATCCTTTTTGGCGAGCAGATGCGTTTCCAACAGAAGCCATCTTCCAGCTCATCTGTGACACAGCCAACTGCCCGAGCACCCGCCCAGCCTGCTCCCTGCCTCCGTGTGGCCTGCGAGCTAAGGGCGATCGTTTCCATGTCTTTAAATGGTTGAAAAAGATCCGACGTCTGTGAAAGTTAAACCCCAGCGCCCATAAGTAAAGTGGAGCCCGGTGAGGCTCGTCTGCTGATGTCTCCTCCGTGGCTGTGTCCGCCCTGAGAGGCAGAACCTGGTCGCTGGGGCTGGCCGACAGTGTGCCCACCAAGCCCGGAACCTTTGTGCAAAGGAAGGTTCTGTGCTGACCCCTGATTTGCATGGCAAAGTGTTTCTCGTGTAGGAGGAACAGACCCACCGTGTCCCTGAAGGTCGAGACCCCACAAGACACAGAGGATCTAATTCAGGGGCCGCACACCCATGCGAGGAGGGGCACTGAGCTCATGCACACACCCTCCGAGGCCCGTCGTGGGCCAGGGATGCGGAGTCTGGGAGGGTGCACCTCAGTGGAGGGAAGTGGGCCTTCCTCCAGCACTACTGGCAAGACGAGACCTCAGGGGTTGCCTTCCCGAAGGAAAGATTCCAGTCGAGAGGCAGGGGCAGTAAAGCAGGAATTTATTGGCCGCAGCAGACGCACACTCAGGACAGTGGGACATGGAAGGAGAAGCAACAGGAGAGCCCAGGCCGGGCTGCCTGGGCTCGCCCGGAAGTCGGAGAACAGGGGCCTTGGAGACGGGGTCTCCGGGTGAGCTGCGGCTGCCCATTGCTCTCCGGCTGCAGGTCTTCCAGGGGCCTTCCAAGTCCAGGAGGTGCTGCCTGTGCGGGAAGGAGGGGGGAAGGGAGAGGCTCCCCGCAGTGGGAGGGGTGGCAAGCGTTGGAGGGGTGCTCTGGGACAGGATCTCAGTAGAACGGTCATCTGCTCTCCAGGTGTGTGCTCTCAGGGCCGAAGTCTCCGCTGGCTGGCTGGTGCCAGAGCAGGGTCCTCAGTCAGTGCAGCTGGTCCCGAGGCTGGAGCTGAAACACACCTGAGGCCCAGGTGTTCCCTTTAGGGAGGAAAGGTCAGGGATCTGAACTGCAAGACCTGCCACGTGCTAGGCACCAGGTTCTTGCCTCCCCAGTTTTGCCTGTTGCTAGGCACCCCTGGAGCTTTCCGCCTGGGAAAATTCTGCACCCAAGACCCCTGCAAGCCTCCCGGGGACTTTTGTGTGAATTAGATGAAGGCACCTATCTTACAAGGCACTGATTTCAAGTGCCACGAATTTTCGTTAGCAAACGTGCCCACCTGTGCCCACACTGTGAACAGCGCCCCCTGGCGGCGCAGCAGAGCCCTGGGCGAGGAAGCAGCAGGTGGAGCCGTTTGTGCATCTGCACCTGGAGCAGGTGGGCGGTGCTGAGGCCAAGGTGCGGAGCGCCTGGGAGACCAGGGAGGGGGCAGAGAAAAGAGACTTCCTCGGTATCTGCAAAACCCTAAACTGGAGAAATCACTGGTACCATCCACCCGGGAAGGCCCCGAATGGGGAACACCTCAGTTCCCCGGGGTGCTGGGTGCAGCCGCCTCTGGGACTTTGACCCACAGCTACTTCCCTCTGTCCGTCCCACACAAGTGCTGTGGTACGGTACTGGGAACACGGCCAGCCTCACTTCTGTGCTGTCCCTGCCCCTAACGCACAACCTGAATTCTGTCCCGAGGGAGCAGCTGACAAGCCCACACTGAGGGTGTTCTAGAAGCACTGCCCAGTCCTCCATGAAGGTGCCCAGTGTGGGCGTGGTCTCGGCGGCCCGATACCGGGCACTCTGGCAGAGGTGGCACTAAGGGACACTCTGCCTTTTGTCTCAGCTCTCACACCGGAAACAAGTGTCCTTTCCGGGGTCCACCAGGGCCTCGTTTTCACACTTGTGTGTTTAATTGTTTGTTAGTGATTCCCCTGTAAAATGGCCCCCAGTGCAGGGAGTTGCTGCTGAATGACCCTCAGAAGGCCGTTGGCCTCTTAGAAACCACGTAAGTTAACAGAAGAGTCGGATCAGTCTGCACACAGACACCGGAAGACACTCAGCGCCACAGTCTCTGAAGCTGGGAGACGGGGCGACCTTTACAGCAAGGGAACCGCCTGTACGGTTAACAGTTTCCACTTCACACGCCCTGTTTGCAGGGACACTGGTTTTAACGAGCAAAGCAACAGGGAAGGTAAGTGACTGGCTCGCAACTGAAAACCAAGAACAGGCCAGAGGCCGCCCTTCCAGCAGCCCCTCCAGGCGCCTTCACGGGTCCCCACACCCGCACACAACGCGTCTGAGTGGCGTGCACCATCTCTCATTAGAACACGCACACCTGGGAACAGCCCTGGGACCGACCGAGCCCCACCCCTGGGAGCAGAGGGCCGGGAAGACCTGGGAAGGAGGCTGCCGTGTGGCCTGCTAACCAATCGAGTTTACGCACTTACACGTGAGGGCACCTTCAGCTGCAGGGCATGATGCGTCCCCACATGGAATACGTTGCCAGGTCAGGATAAGCCTGTTCCAGGAACCAGCACAACGCAGGAGGCAGTCAGGTCACAGAACAGTGTGTCCTCCACAGTGTCCCCCCTGGTGACCAGCTCTGACAACCTCACGCGCCCCCAGCCCCCCAGGTGCCCTGAGCGAGAGGCTCCGGTAGCAGGGAGCTCGCTCACTTGGTTACCCCTCAGCTGCGGGGAGGCACAATCCTCAACAGTACAGGCCCACACAGGAAGAAGTGCAGCCAAAGACGCCGTCCGGATGTCAGCTGTGGCCCGCTGCGAGGAGGTGTTCCGATCCAGGGTGCAGCTGGAACCCAACGCCACCGACACAGCGGGAGGTCCAGGTCAGGAAGACAGGTGCTTGGTGGGGACTTGGATGGGGGTCTATGAAAATCACACCGCAGCCTGGTCTTTAGGTGTTAGTGCGGTCACAGCCATCGGGCCAGCCAGGCCGTGCCAACCTCACAGTTGGCGGGGGAGGGTGGGAGGGAGCAGGCCAGACCAGGCCCTACGCCCTCTCCTGTCTCAGCGGCGGGTCCCGGCCCATGTGTGGGGTGTTTCCACGAACCCCAATGGCGTTGATGTGACAGGCTCCCCCAGAGTGTGAACAGTTGCCCCCCCACCCGGGGGCACGCAGTGACTGACCCATTGCAGCAGGAAGTCCCAGTTTAGAGTCCAGTAAATGGTCCCCTTTCCAGGGACACTGGGCCCCCATGATCCTGCCCAGCATCGGTGACCCCCGCCAGGGCTGCTGGCTTGTCCTTTGCCGTCCACAGCTTATGGTGGTGCTGCTTGCCTCGGCCCGAGGCACTTTTCTGGCCGAACAGGCAGCAGGCCCCACGGGTCACTTCAGTGAATTAACACCCGGGAGAGCACCTCTGTGCACCAGCTGGAGCAGGCACCCGGTAACTCCATTGTTGTTCAAGGACACCATCCCACAGCCCGGCCGCCGGTGGGTTCTGTGGCGGCCGAGCCTCTGCAAATCAGCATGTCCCTTGACCTGTGACCCCTGTTGCTATACATTTAGCCAGGGCACCAAAGCTACTTTTTCTAGTCCCTTATGGGAGCAACTTGGTTAGCCCCCCCGGCTGGGAAGGCCTGAGCGAGACCAGAGGCTGTGTGGATGCACAGCGGCACCGATTTGGGGCCCACACTTAGCGGGGGTGCTGTGTGCTGACCCTGCAGTTCCCCCCCACCCCCAGCCCAGGCTGTGGGGCACGGCCCTGCTCCCTGTGCAGCTGCCCTGGACCCTGTGTGGAACAGACCAGACAGGGGGGCGCTGCACGTACCAGACACCCCCGCATTGCGAAGGCACCTGCCTGCCTCCAGCTGCCGTTGGGGGGGCAGGGGTTGCTGATCTCTGCCCTTGGGTGAGGGGGCGCTCTCCCCTGGGCAGCTTCACCGTCCAGCCCAGCCCACGCCCTCGGGGGGCCAGGGGACATCGAACTCCAGGCAACCCTGCCTGGGAGACCCCGGGGCTTGAATGTCTGGCCAGTGTGTCTGCTGCCCTGACTCCAGTCCCACAGATGCCCATTCACTAGGCCACGGGCTGGGCCGAGGAGTCCTGCCAAATGTCACCAGTTCCCCAGGGGCCCAGGAAAGCCCATGCCTCTTCCATGTGTTTCCCAGTGGGGGAGGGTCCCACCTTGTCCACCACGGCCTCGGGACACTGCAGCAGAGGTGGGCTCAGCGGCCAGCCTCACGTCATCAACACGACAGGAAAAAACAGCAGCACCCAGGCCACTGTCCCCTGACCTGTGGGGGAGCTCCCCGAGAGGTGTGTAGGGTCTGTCACTGGGGGCGAGTCACGGGCAGCAGGCACCAGTGCCACCGGGTACAGGAAACCACGTTTGACCAGGTTGGTGTTGGAAACTTATGAGATGGAGGCAGCAGGAGCCGGGTGATCTGGTCTGAGTGCCTCCATCTGATGCTGTGCTGAGTGGTAGGCTGAGTCGGGGTCGACCTCAGCACGGGGGAGGCAGAAGTGGGTCCTTTAGAGAAAAAGCGCAGGGTTTGTGGGGGGTAGGCGAAGGGTTATTCTCTTGTACTTCCAGGTGGGAGCCTCAGGGTTCCAGGATGTGGGCTGGGACAATGGGTCCGGTAAAGGGCCGGGCTGCTCCAGGAGTAGGAGGTCAGTCTGTCCCCCCCATTGGGACTGGCACCAGGTGTCTATCACCCTTGGTGGGTGAGAGTTCGATTAAACCACGGGCTGCCAAGCAAGTGGGGACACCTGAGTCACAGACAGTCCAGCGGGTTGGAAACTGGCCTGACCGTTGAGTCAGGACGAGCCTGTTCCAGGCGCAGGAGGCGTCTGGGTTCCGACCCATCTCCAAGGGGGTAGCGGTGGCCCTCCCTCGCTGCGGCCCGGGCCCTGCTGGTGGACCACCAGCTGTCAGGTCTCAGGCTGGTCCCTCCTCCACGCCCCTGATTTCACAGAGATGAACTGCTGCTTTCGCTGGGCCCACTTGAACAATCGAAAATGAACAGCAAACCAGTTTTATGGCTTGTTTTCTCCGACATGTTTAATGACATCACAGTGTGGGGGTGTCATTGGTTACAACAGGTTACAAGGGAACGGAAACATGGACTTAGTTTTACAGTTGACTGGAAGCAAGACACATTCGTGGACACTGAGGAAAAACAACCGCTGTGGAAGAAGGAATGAGCCCTGCGGTCCCAGGACAAGGCATAGCAGCCCTAGACGCCGGGTGCTCTGGGCACGGGAAGCACCCGAGGGAGGGGAGGCTGCGTTCCCACGGCGGGAGCCTCTGGGAGAGCTGCTGGAGGACGAAGGGCCAGGCAGACCCTGTGGGCCCGGGCGGCCGCTGCAGTGCAGACACGGGACCACACCCAGCGCCGGACTGGACGGGAAGTTGCGGGTTAAAGACGCACTTGTTGCTGGAAGCTCTCGCCCAGAGCTGGAGCAAAAAGAGGCTGCCGCTGGCAGCTAAGCAGATGACACGCCTGACGGTCACTGGGCTGCAGGAATGCTCTTTGGGAAGAGGAGCTTGACCTCGGAACTATTCCACTTTTTGTCGCAGAGTTCGTGCTTTTATGCTGCCATTGTCTCCCACTGGCTCGGGCTGCCGAGGTCCCCGCAGGAGACAGGCGTAGAAGCTGCTTTTGTAAGAAGCGCGTGGCCAACCTGCCTGACAGCCTTTCTCAGGAGCCGCGCAAAACTGGGCTGATCTGGTCACGAGCTGTCCCTTTTCGAACAAACTCGTCTTAAAGGAATGGTTTCTAAAACAGGCTTTTACACTAGTCCTTCAGGCACATAAAAAAGTCTCCATATAAAAGTCCGCTTCTTTAACACACAGGACAAACATGTTTCCTTAAGAAAAGGATCTCATTTTTAACCCGAAATGAAGTACAACTTGCGGAAATACCCTTTTCAGTGGCTCAGGGCTTATTTCAGCCGCCCGGGGCTGTGCCTTCTGTCCGTCTTCGCAGCTTCCAGACACTGAGATGGAAGAGGCAACTCTAAAATGACAGGAGACAGGCCTGGCCCAGGACACAGACCCGCCCTGGTCGGGGACAGAAGAGACACCGTCGTCCCATCGCTACAGCCATATATACATATTAACAATCTTGTCGTTAAAAAACCCAGAAATTTCATAAAACTGTTTCAAAACTCAGAGCATAAAAGTATAAAGAAATGCATTTAATGTACAATCTATTCTGTTTGGCAACGTTTAAACTATATTAAAAGGTAAAAACTTATCTACAGACAGAACGTGATGAAGGAGGACGGCTCGGGGAGGCGCTCAGCTCCACAGCTCCTCGGTCCTCCCGAACTTGTAGATCAGGGTGCTGCGGGGGGAGGAGACACGTGGTGAGGGGAAGCGCGTGCACCCAGCCCCGAAATCCACTCTCCAAACAGGCTTTGGCCGAGGCCTCACCGGGGCTCTGCGTCAATGTCTGAAGCAAAGGCTGTGGCGGGTGGGTCCCCGTTTGCCTGTTCTGCCGACCAGCTGGCTGGGCTGAATTATACGTCCTGTCTCAAGCGTGGACAGTTGCTGGACAGGGAACGCCCTACCGAGCCGGCAGTGACGGTGGAGCCGCAGGTGCGGAGGTGTCTCAGAGCAGAGCCCGCTGCGGCTCTCGGTTCCTTAACAAACCACCATCGTCCGCTGAGGACGGGTTTGCGCTAGGAACATGCGGCAAGTCAGAGCGAGAGGAACGTGCTTGCCAACAGAGCTCAGAGCTCCCCATGGAGACCACTGAGTCCTGACTGCAGGGAAACGATGCTACGAAGGCCAGGCCCGCGGTGCCATGAGAGCGGACCACGGGGTCTGACCCAGTGAGAGAGGCCCAGGCCTTCCTGAGCAGGGAGTGACAGAGCTGAGCCCCCAAAGGAGGGTGGGCAGCATCTCAGGAGAGTACAGGTGGGGGGAGGGGAAGGAGCAGAGAGACGGGGCACTGGGCCCAGGAGGGGAGCCACCGAGGAGGGGACAGGCAGGGGTCTGGACACAAGATGCAGACAGACACCCGTGCCACACCAGCCTGCAGCAACAACGGAAGCCCCACGAGGTGTGCTTGCCCGGACAGAGGATGAGGAGAGGAGAGAGTGCCTAAAAGAGAGTCGGGAAACTCCAAAAACTAGCAGCCAGGACATGGGGCGGAGAACCAGCTGGCCGGGCAGCGGGAGCTGGCCCGTCTCTGCACGGCCGCACCTGCCAGGCTCCGGGCAGAGCTCACGGCCAGGCGGCGGGCGCTGTGCGTGGGGGCACAGCCTCCACAAGCACGCACAGGCTTCCTGACACCCACTCGTCGTGGATGTGGACTCCGGACCACTACTAAGGGCAGGATTTGAATTTAAATGCACTCTCTAAACAGTGTCTTCATGAGAACTTACTGTACCTCTGTGGGTCATCACAGGTCAAGAAATGTGATCACAAGACAGCGGAGACCACCCCACACCCTTCAAAGCCGTGAGTGTCCTGGCCACGGAGCAGTAACAGGGCACCGAGCAGCGCACAGGCGGGCGTTCAGGGAGGCCAGGGGACAGCGAGTGAGGCAGAGCACAGACAGGCACGGAGAGAGGGCGCTAGGGAGACGTGGAGGGGGCCCCCAGGTCTGCTTCAGGGGCACGCAAAGGGAGGAGCCCAGCGAGGGAAGTCCCGATGAGCAGAAGGCTCCCGGAGCTCCCACGGGGGGGGGGGGGGGCGCGGTTCATAACCTCGCACAGAGGAGGCAAGCTCGGGGAACACGGAGCGTCAGGAGGGACGGTCCGAAGTCTGCCGCTGCCCTGTGAGGGGGACAGGTGGTCCCAGACTACAGCCGCCCCGGCCCTGCCTGGCAAAGCCGAAGAGCAGAACTCACAGGACCGCACCATCCAGGAGACCTGGCTGCGCCTAGAACAAAGCTCCAGGTGTTTGCAGAAACACCGGAAAGTCCGGCCCCAGCCGTGCAGACAAGGAGAAAGCAAACGGGGGAGAGCCCCAGGTGGAGAGGAAACAATCACCAGGGGCAGACTCAGAACCGACACCACGGGACAGGGGCACGCACAGCCGTGAACGGACTCCGCGTAACGAACACACCGGCCGACTTGGAGAAGTGAGAAACACGTCTGAGATGAAAAGTACACTGGTCGGGAGATGCAGTAAATCAGACGTTGCAAGTCGCAGTCAGTGAAATTAAAGACAGAACGACTAGAAACAGAAAGGGAGAAAAAGCCACACGGCACCGGCGAGTGGTGGGCAGCTGGAAGCGGCCTCAGGCACGCGTCAGGGGAACCCTGGGAGGGAGGGCTGGACGGAAAAGTGTTTTGAGGAAATAATGGCTGAGAAGATTTCAAATTTGATGAAACCTATAAACCCACAGACCCATGAAACGAAGTGAACCCCAAAAAGGAAAATATAAAGAAAACAACCATAATCAAATTGTTTAAAACCAGTGACAGAAGCAAAGTTCTTCACAGCTCAGACCTTAACGATTTTATAAGTGGATGCTGTTTTCAAAGACCACTTCCCCTCAAATGAGCTGCACACTCAACTGTGTGCGCCATCAGTATTTTTAAGTAAAACAACACATCTTGGGTATATTTGGTGAGCACTACTGTGTAAACATTAGTCTTTACATTAACAGACATTCATTCTGAGAAGCACAGGATACAGGCTTCACTTGGGGGGCTTTTTAGAAGGCAGCCCTTAAAAATACTTCTAGTTTTGTTTTATTTTAATACGTAAAGTTATCTCAAACATGTCATAAAAAACCCAACTCCCTGATCAGACTGTGTCTATATAGAGCATACGTAGTACGTACGCTGGTGTCTTTCGTTAAAAATAAAGGCCCCCAGTACATGCTGAGGTTTGTTTTTAACGGCACATGGCTGCAAAAGCAGCCCCTGGCACACACCGGTTCTGCTTTTCCCGGCCAGGGCCCTCAGGCCAACTCTGAGCCTACCCGCCGCCACGCTGAGGGTCACTGGAGGGGAACGAACATGGCAACATCCATGAGGCGCCCTGCAGAGGTCTCGGCACTCGGCAGGCCCCTAATTAAACGCCTTATGTATGCTCTTACGCAGCAGCAGAATTTTCACCTTCTTGAAAGAAGTTCTGTGCATTGTCACTAATGTAAGGGATTTATGCATGTCCCACTGTGCACGCTGCTCTTACAATAAAGATGACATTTCTGTAAATGTTTTAGCTGTGACTAAGAAATTAGGCAGCTTACCTTGAAAATATAAGTGCATTTTGAAAAAACACAGCTAGTCCTGGATAAACCTCGGTATCTGCACACACAAAGCAAAAACAGAAGATTAAAAAGCGCAGTGGGCGGTGGCGAAGCACCTGTGGCGTCCGCACGCCTCGCTCGGCGTATCCCACTGTCCTGCGCTTGTTCCCGAACTCCAAGTCGATGAGGAAACTGGAAGGAGAAAGTGTGAATCTCATTTGCTCAAAACAAAAGACTGCTCTCACTCTGGATAAAAGACAATGAACTTACCCTGGCTGGTGTGGCTCAGTGGATTGAGCACCAGATTACGAAGCAAAGGGTGGCCGGTTCGATTCCTAGTCGTGGCACATGCCTGGGTTGTAGGCCAGGTCCCCAGTAGGGGGCGTGAGAGGCAACCACACATTGATGTGTCTCTTCCTTTCTCTCCCTCCCTCCCGCCCCCCTCTCTAAAAAGAAATAAAATCTTTTTACAAATACACTCTCTTTCCTTCAAGTGAGCGCACACTAGCACTGTGTGTTCCGTCAGTGTTTTGCACTAATTAAAGTGGCACATATGTTAGATGTATGTGTGGTGCATGCACACTCTTACTGTGTTACTGAAACACCCTTCAGCCCGCCCTCTGGTCCTGACTTACTCTGGGCCAAGTGAGAGACGCAGGCATTTCCAAGATCTCACACAGATAAAACTGTGAGACTTCCGGGATCCTTCCAAGGGCATTGAAAGGCCAGCTGGGGGTCGCAGGGCAACAGCATGACCCCACAGCTCCAAGAGGTCAGAAGGTGACCAAGCTGTGTTATCAGGAGGGGCCTCCTGCCTTCGGAGTGAAGGGAGAGGCTGGTAAAGACAGGCTCTCTCTACGCCTCGGAGCCAGGGGCTGGGACGCACCCTGGTGACGGGGTCTGGGGCCGGCAGCGGCCGGGGGCCTTCGAGGGGCGTGTGAGGGCTGGCGCCTCTGCACCAGCAGCTCCTGCGTGAGGACTACACATCGTCAGTCTTGCCCTTAAGAAACTCCCCTTGTACCTGGGACGGAAACACTTCAGGCCAGGGTTAGGAAGAAGAGGCCCTGGTGGGAAGAAAGACGTTGTGGTCCACACCCCTTATCGGGAACCCTTGGGGCAGGGGACGTCCTGGAGCTCAGAATTTTTCAGACTGAAGAATGGTGGTGACACAGGGACAAATGTTTCACAGCAGACACAGCTGGGTCTGGACCGGCCCCCAGAGCCAAAGACGACCACTCTGCTGCAAGGGAACCTCTGAACACGGCCCTGGCTGGTGTGGCCGGCGGCCTGGGTGCCGGCCTGCAAACTGAAAGGTCACTGGTTCGATTCCCAGTCAGGGCACATGCCTGGGCTGCGGGTTCAGCCTCTGGTCAGGGCAAACAAGAGGCAAATGACCAACATTTCTCTCACATATCAATGTTTCTCTCCCTTTTTCCCTCCCTTCCCCTCTCTAAAAATAAAATCTTTTAAAAAATCTGACAGTAAACGGAAAAAAAGATTATCGTGAGCCCCACCTCACTCTAGGTCAGGTACTACTGCCCAACTGGCAGTGAAAAAGGCGACTGGCAGCCCTCAGCGGGCTTAGGGCTGAGTACGAGGGACTGGGGACCAGGCTGTCCCGCTGCACCGCCAGGCCCGGTGACTCAGCTGCCTTCCACCAAGACACACCTGCAAGGGAACTGGGCGTTCAACGAGAGTTCCCTCCAGGCGGCGTCAACAGACTGAGCCAAACACAGCAGACGTGTGTGAACCTCTCCTGGGACACGAAAGAGGAGCAGATACTCACTTTGGGTGACATATGCGCCGAAGAGAATCCACATGGAAGCAATAAGTGACCCAAACATCAGCATGAACCCGATGAAGAGCCAAACTCGAGCCCCTGCGAGAAGAACAGGCTTTAGGTTTTGCTGCTGTTGCAGCCCCCGCGTCTTAGAAGGGCGGGGCCCTGGGGACACGCGGGCCTCGGGCAGGCTGTGCACGTCAGTCGGTCACACGTGGGGGGGGGGACGCACGCTGCCTTTCTCCTGGCTGAAGAAACGGACAGCTGAGCAACCACACCGGGCAAGCTTTAGACGGAACTCTTTGACTAAGCTGACTAACTGGACCCCGACTAAAGATTCCCTCTGCTGTATACACTACCAAAGCACTGAACACCGAGTTTGCCGTGTACCCACTGTCATGCCCCTGGCATGTGACCAGTATGCACAGCGCTCTTTCGGCCCACGCTGCGGCGGCTCTTCGGCTCGGGCCGCCAGAACTGAGCGGGAGAGGCGCGGGGTGCCAGGTTTGACTTCCCAATGCGTCCACGCATCGCTTGGCCAGCACTTTACAGGTGACACCACTGGCTGACACCGGGGATGAGAGTGCTGTCAGCAGCACTGGTGGAGTGACCCCGAGCCTGGCAGCTGCAGGTGCTGAGCAGTGACCTTTTCCCTATTGAGGGCGGGCAGCAACACAGGACAGAACGGGAACTCCTGGTGGTGACTCTCACTTCCCTGAGGACGTAACCGGCCTGTAACATTTCTTCCAGGTCGCTCTGCGGAACGCGGAGCGCCGACCGCTGCCAGGCGCGCACGAAGACTCTCTAAGGCTTTGTGGTTTCTGTGGGTCAGTCCCTGAGTGCCACGCGCACGCCGGCCATGGCCACGTACCTGTCCTCCCCAAACAGCCGCTCTCGTAGCTGTCCCCTCTCACCTGGGCATTGGACACGGCGTTTATCCTGGAGGGACACAAAATCATCTCCTTAGCGTTCGTGGCACTATGATATCCACAGATGTTCACTCGTTACTTAGAAGGAAGGCACTTTCTAACTGAAGTCAGTACCTGAACAGCCGAAGACACCTTTAAACTTCCTGACCCTACTGGATACCAATGTGACATGAGTCTCATTTCCCTTGAGTACACCCAGAAAACATCCCCGATTTGAAAGCCTGCTGTTACTTGTCTCCAGACCAGGAAAGGGGGCCATCTTCCTGATTTCTCCCATCTGCACACGGAAGCCTCACGTGTGCCCGTCCGGCACTGGGGCTCGGAGGGCAGCAGTCCACGGGGAGCCCACACCCACCGGCCCCTCGACGCTGAGCACAGCGCTGCTGTGGCGGGGAGTTACCTGCTCTCAGCGTCATGAATAACTAAACACAGTTCCACCTTCCACAACTTAAACTTTTAACAACTCCTGACAGTGGAAGAGAATTCTATAATCTGCATGTTTAACATCTTTTCTTATCATTAACAGGCATCCATGAAAAGCTTTAGAACTCTTTTACCAAGTGAGATAATGTATAAACCTGAAAGTCATTTCATAAGAAAGAAAAGCCATTTCTTTCTCATTTGAGCCCAATCCTGCCCACCCCACCCCACCCCACCAAAAATACTGGCAAACACAGTCAAGCAGCCTATTTTTTAAAATAATCCTCCATGGTGAAAGCGAGTGTATGACAATACTTAAGGATGATTCACTACGCAAAAAATCTAGAAATGTGACAAATTTCATTAAATCTAAGATGCAACTGAGTTTTGAAATTCAGCACTACTGAGCTACAAAGAAAAAAGAGAAAGAATTCACAAACACAGACAGCAGTGTGGCGACTCGGGGGAGGGGTGGATGGTGGTGGACCAGGGCACGGGAGGATAAATGGTGATAAAAAATAAAACAAACAAATTTAATAAAATACTGAAATAAAATAAAATTCACCACTATTCTTTAAACCTCCAAGAAAAAAAATGTTAACTGTATTTATAACATGCCACTGACTGTAAAAAGCACCCCGATACTTCCGGATAATAAAATATAAAAAAATAATCTTGGGACTGATAAGATACAGTAAATAACCAGTTTAACAAATATGAGAACAATCATATGACAAGCTTCACAAATGCTAAAATGATATCTGACTAAATTCAGCACTCATTCTTGACTTTTAAAAATCTTAATAAAATGGGAATTCATTTATTTATTCATTAACCCTTGAAAGACGAAACCACCAGGTTAAAAGGTTATTGCAGGGAGCAGGCAGCACTGGCCCTTCGGGACCCAGCGTTCTGGGCAGACGGGCTGGCACCGAGATACCCCGTGCACTTACATGAAGAACGCCAACGTGGAGAACACGCCGCACGTGTGGAAGGCGTGGTTCAGCTGCTCCGGCTTGGGGTACACCACGGCCGCGTCGATCATGACCCACCAGCCTGTGAAAAACTGCAAAGGGCCCGCGTCACGGACGTCACCCCGAGACTGCAGCTCAGCACCACTCCTGTCTTTAACATTCCCCTTTGCCCACAGACCACGCAGGCGACACATAAAATAGTTCCACTCTGAGTACTGGATGCTGACGTACAAAACTAAGAATCCTTGTTTACTTTTGCCTAATAGCAGAGGTGACCCTAACCAATCAAATCTGTGTAAGATTCGGAAGTTCTGCTCCCGATGCAGGAGGAAAATGTATCATTTGGGAATGGATCACCTGATGCTTTCACCCACCATGTCACACGCAAGCGAAGCTCTCAGCTGACCTCCACCGCCCGGCTTCCTGGCCTCTCGCGGGTCTCATTTTCTCTTCCGCTTCCCACCTGCCCACCAGCGCTTTTGCCTCTGCAAGTGAGCTGCCCCCCCACCACGTCCCCAAAACTATCATTATGCAATTTAATCAAATACCGTTTAACTGACTGAACGTTGTGAAATGCAATGCTTCTATGTAAACCAAGAAGAGCCTTAAATTAGACAAATTGCTAAGGGACAAGATAAGTGCAGACGAGACGAGACGACCATAAAGAGCAAGAAAAACCTCGAAGCGGCTACAAGAACTCTGCACACAGAGGGCCTCACAACTCCCTTTACTTCCTGTTGTGCTTTATTTACTCTTTTCTGTTGGTCTCCAGCACAGAGCTGTGTACCCAATGAGATGGAACAGATGCTAAACTTGCCTCAAAAATGCAGTTGGGGCAAGGAGGGGGTGGCGAAAGGCTCAAGCAAATTTGGTCATGATTCAAGGGGTTTTTTTGAAGACGGGTGATAAGTAAATGGAATACAAGAGGAGAAGGGCTCTTTATATTATATTATTCTCACCACTTTTGTTTAGATGTTTGACATTTTTAATAATAAAAGGTTGAGAAAGAAAAAACATTGGGAAGAAAACTAAGCCGATTCCTTTCTCTTGCCCTTCCCCTCCCGCACAACAATGGGAACTGGTGGTGGCCGTGCCCTGTCCCTGGGGCCCTGCGGGGAGTCCCACAGTAATATCTGGCTGATTCTGAGCCTCTGAGGATCTTAAAAGGACTTACACATTGACTTAAAAACGCTACTGCTCCTGGCTGGTGTGGCTCAGTGGGTTGAGTGCGGCCTATAAACCAAAGGGTCGAAGGCTTGATTCCCAGTCAGGGCACACACCTAGGTTGTGGGCCAGGACCCCAGTGGGGGACGTTCCAGAGGCAACCACACACTGATGTTTCACTCCCTCTCTCCCTCCCTTCTGCTATGTAAAAATAAATAAAATCTCAAAAAAAAATTTTTTAAAGCTACTGCCTACACTAATTGTATTATCACTGGAACTGAAGAGAGGGTTTTAAGTTCAGCAAATTTACAAGTCAGATGAACCAGGACCTACTCCATTCTGCCCAGAAATAGCCTCTCAAATTGTGATAATTACTTTTACAAAAACAACAGGGAAACAAACAGTTCGGAAGGGGAATCGCAGTCCCGAGGGACCCCTGTCCACTTCCGGGCGGAGGAGGGCCGTCGGGCCGTCGCACTCACCAGCACCCCCGCCACCACGGAGGCCAGGGTGTTCCTCCTCTCGCTCCAGTCCACACACTCGCATTCTGGCCACCGGAAGTTGTCTAGGAAGCCCGCCATCGCCGCCCCCTCAGCGCCGGCCTCTCATTGAACACCGTTGTCTACAAAGAAGACAAAAAGAAAAACCCAAAGGAAATATTTTTAGGAAGTAAAACGTGGACTTCCGCCAAGATGGAGGCATAGGTGGATGTGCCGTGCCTTCTCACACAACCAAGATTAGAGAAAACTAAATATTAGCAACAGAAAACACAGCCAGAACACGGAAAATTGAACTTTTCGGAAGTCTAATAACAACAAATTCTTCAGTCTGACCGGTAAGGGGCAAAACCAGTGGCTGGTGAAGCGGGATTGCACAGGAAAACTCGGTCAGACTGAGGCGCGGGGAATCCAGGCGCAGGGTTGGACCTAGTGAGCGACCAAGCGAGCGACCAGGCGAGCGACCGCAGGGGAGACAGCAGGGCAGCGGGGCTGCGTGTTGACTGTGGTCGCGCATTTGTGCGCGGGTGGACAGGGGAGGGAGTGGGTGGTTGGACGGGGCCCAGCGGGTCCCCGGCGGCAAGCAGCAGTGGAGGGCGCTGCCATTTCCCCGCCCTGACCACGCCCTCACATACAGCGTCACAACCCAGTGACCTGGGAGTCCAAGGCTCCGCCCCTCACACTTAAAGGGCCAGAACAGACCAAAAATGGCACAAGAAGATCTCAAAGCCCCAGAACCTATAGATCTAAGTGATGAAGACATAGCAAAACTCTCAGACGCACAGTTTAAAACACTGGTCATCAGGATCCTCACAGAACTGGTTGATTATAGCCACAAATTAGACAAATATATGAAGGCGAAACTAATTGAAATGAATGGAATTGCACAGAAAACCAATAGCAATGAAAAGGAAACTGGGACTCAAATCAATGGAGTGGACCAGAAGAAAGCAAATAATGGCCAAACACAAAAGAGTCAAGAAGCAAGAATTCAAAGAAATGAGGAGAGTCTTAGGAACCTCCAGGACATCTTTAAACGCTCCAACATCCGAATTATAGGGGTACCAGAAGGGGGAAAGGCACAGCCACCAGTGGAAAACTTATTTGAACAAATAATAAAGGAGAATTTCCCCAATCTGGCAAAGGAAATAGACTTCCAGGAAATCCAGGAAGCTCAGAGAGTCCCAAAGAAGTTGGACCCAAGAAGGAACACACCAAGGCACATCATCATTACATTAGCCAAAATTAAAATGAAGGAGAGAATCCTAGAAGCAGCAAGAGCTAAAGGGACAGTCACCTACAAAGGAGTCCCCATCAGACTGTCAGCAGATTTCTCCAAAGAGACCTTACAGGCAAGAAGGGGCTGGAAAGAGGTATTCCAAGTCATGAAATCCAAAGACCTACAACCAAGATTGCTCTATCCAGCAAAACTTTCATTTAGAATGGAAGGACAGATAAAGTGCTTCTCAGATAAGATCAAATTCAAGGAGTTCATCATCGCCAAGCCCTTATTATATGAAATGTTAAAGGGACTTATTGAAGAAAAAGAAGTTAAAGAAACATGAACAGTGAAAGGACAACAAACTCACAGTTATTAACAACCACACCTAAAACAAAAGCAAACTAAAAGGACAGCTAGATCAGGAGTGGAAACATAGAAATGAAGATCTCAAGGAGGGTTAGCAACAAGGGAGTGGGAGGAGGAGAAGGGGGGAGAAGGTACAGAAAATAAGTAGCATAGACAGTAGATAGAAAATAGATGGGGGGACAAGAATAGCATGGGAAATATAGAATCTAAAGGACTTGAGACACATGGTCATAAACTAAAGAGGGGGTAATGGTGGGGATGGGGGGGTAGGGTGGAGGGGAATGAAAGGGGGAATAGAACAACTGTAACAGCATAATCAATAAAAAATTTTTTTAAAAAAGAAGTAAAACGTCACTCCTCTTTTAAAGCTTGAACACAGACTTACTTTAGGTCTGCATCTACTACAGTTAGGAAGAAAGTTCGATACTTCGATGCGTAGCTATGGAGAGGCGCACAGGACTGGGCCCGGGCACAGGGGGCTGACTGCTCATGAGCACAGTGGTTTTACACGGCCTCCCGTTGAGAGCTATGTCCTTCCCCTTGAATCTGACCCCACTACACAGACGGTTTGACCTGCAGAGTAGAAGTGATGCTACGTAACTTCCGCCACACAAGTCCGGACCGTAAAAGGCGGTGCAGTTTGTAGCTGGTTCTCTGGAACACTAAACTCTGTAGCCCTCAGCTGCTACACAACAACTCCAAGGCCACATGCTGGCAGAGACCATGCGCAGGTGTTCTGGCTCTTGTTCCAGGTAAGGTCTCACCAACGGGCCAGGTGTGGAGCAGACACTGAGCTGACTGCTGGGCCTCCAGGTGAGGTCCCAGAGGCTCAGAGTGGAGACACATCTTCCCATCTGCCCCCCAGCAAATTCCCGACCCAAGGAAACCAGAAGTAGGAGAAAACGGCTGTTTACAGCTCTGGTGTTGGGGCCATCTGTAACGGCAAAAGAAAATGGGGGAATGCCATGCAAACGCTGGGGGATTCCCAAAGGGCGCGCGTTTGGAGGAGGCGATTCAGGGACACCTTCCAGTCCAGGAAGGAAGAAATACGCCGTCTGAAAGCACCAAACAGTGCAGAACTCAGCGCAAACCAGAGCGGGTCTGGCCCCTGAAAGAAAACACTCAAACGTCCTGCGCACGCACCCGCACGCAGCTGCGCCAGCACCTGGGCCGTAGTGCCGGGTCACCGTGCCCTGCCAGCACAGTGGGAGTGGGAAGCGGGGGAGCAGTCACAGGGCTCCACCCGCTGGGCAGGGCTGGGGGAGCGTGCAGACTTGGCTGGATTTTGAAGTGCACACAGGGATGAGGCAGATAAAAAGAAGAAATAGCCAAATTACGTCGCTGGAAGAACGGGGAAGGGTGTAAGGTATTTCAAAGACTGACCAGCCCGGTTGGGGCCAGGTCATGGAGGAGTTTTCAGCCTGCTCTAAGCCAGGGGTTGGCAAACTTCCTGTGAAGAACCGCGAGGGACGCGTGTTTGGTTTTGCAGATCAGTCTGTCACCGCCGCCCACTCCACTGTCGTGGCCTAAAGCAGCCACAGACAGTACACCAGCTCGAGCGTGGCTGTGGCCCACGTGCACGGACAACCAAGGAAGCACGGAGACCCGGCAGCAGTCTGCAGAGCGCGCTCGACACCCATGAGCAGGGAAGCAACCGGGGGTCTTAGAACCGTGGCAGCAACACCACATGGGGTGAGGACAAGCGCTGGAGACTGGCCCCCACCCTAGACAGGAAGAGGGAGGGGCACGTGGAGGCCATACTTCGACCGAGGGGTGTCAGACAGAGATGTGCACAGGACGGACAGGCAGACCCCACAGGGAGGGCAGTGTGAGGCAGACGAACAAACCAGAGGCTCAGAGTGACAAAGTGGTAACCAAAGTCTGGGGGCAGCTCTGGGAGAAACTCTGGAAGGGGCCAAGGGCGGGTCTCTGACCGTCCCCTTCCTTGACAGGTGCGCCCGCCAGACGGCAGACCCGCAGAGGTGGTGGTGTTCGACCTGCACTGCACTCTGGAGCGTGCGCCGCGCATCTGCAGGCCGTCCCTGCGAGCCAGGCACCGTGGGAAGACAAAGATGCCTGAAACATGGCCCTCGTGGGCAGGGCGCTAACCCGCCAGTGGAGAAATCAGTGAGCACTTTTAAAAATCAAGTCACAAGTTTGTATCATTCTACAAAAGGTTACGAAAAATCAGGAGGTGAACGAAATATTACGTCACTCAGATGCCAGGTCACATTACCAATGACCTGGCATCCAGCAGCTGGGAGGCGCTCCCGGCTTGCGGCCGCTCCATGCCGACCTCAGGAGCTCTTCCCACGGGCCGTTCCGCCGGAGCCTCACCCACAACCCTCAGGCAGGCGCTCTCATCACCTCGAAGGGCTGAAAGGTCCCGGGAGTGGTCAGCTTGCCCATGGTCACACAGCGAGCAAGGAGGGCCACCGAGATCCCTACAGCCCGTGGACCTGATTCCAAAGCTGAGCTCTCGGCCACGCCAGCCCGCTGCCCCTTGTCAGACCGGCTTCCGGCAGGAAGAGCGAGTCACTGCTCCACTGCCTGCAGGGGGGACAGCCCACGAACCAGATGGGGGAGTGCGCCCATGTGGAGGAGCCCTGCGTCATCTGGGGACCGAGGCGCGAGAGGTGGCAGGCGCGGCCCGTTCCATCTGGCCAAAGGGGTCTGGGGAACAACAGTTCGTCCTCCCGGGCCATTGCAGACCCAGCTTCTAGGCACTTCCGGTGGGGCTGCTGTGGAGGCCAAGTCCGACCTCGGGGTGGTTTAGACATCTCACCGCTCCAGAGAACCACTGCGCACACTTAGTCTTGGGGATGCTCTCTTGCCTTGTCACTTGTCAACCACAACAAAGAAAATGGAGTGAAATGCCAATTTTGGTGGAAGACTTCAACCCAAAAAACCGAGTAAAGGGTATGGAGAATAGATTTTTAAAGACTTTAATTTTAGAACTACATCACTTCTCCCAGTAATACCCTTAACAACTTTTAATTATTCGAAACATGGGTTATTTGGTTAACTCTCCCCTTTGCTGCTTCTCTGTGCAATTGACTCACAGATTTAAATATCCAGGCCCAGACCCACACAGCCAACCACCTGCAGGCAAAGTCACCTCAAAACAACACGTCCAAACACCAAGTCCCCACGGGCGACCTCCTCCCAGCCCGACCCGCTGGCTTGGAGGAGATCCCTGCAATGAGTAAGTCACCGTTCACGGTTACACAAGCCAGAGAGGGGTCATCCTCCTCATCGCTAGTCTCTCCCCTCTCACATCCGACCCCCCAGCTCCACCTCCTCGGCCTCTCTCCACCTCTCCTTGCCTCAGCTCCTGCACCCTGTGCGGAGTCCCGCTGTCTCACCCGTCCCTGACAAGGACCCCCCACCCACATGTCCTCACACTGCCGCTGGGGTGACTTTTGAAAAAAGGCACAAAGCTGCCATCTCCCTCCTGCTTAAAACCTTTGCCTTCCTGTCTCCTTTAAGACGAAGACGAAGCCCTGTTGCGTGCCGCAGCGTCCTCTGATGACCTTTCCTGTCTCTCTCCTCCGTGGCCCGGGTTCTCTTCCACTGCCTCCTGCCTGCTCCCGGACCGTGGAGAACCCACACTCCCGCTGGTCCCGCCCCGTCCCCAGCTCCCCTAGGTGACTCCAGCTCACACAGCAGATGGCAGTTTACTTGTCCCTTCTGAACTTGAACCTCAGCTTCCCCTTCCTCCACCACATCCGTTTACAGAGCGTCTGCTGCACGCCAGGCACATCGATGACAGACAAAAGCACTGTGTGGAGTTTTGCCAGTGGGGGCGGGTGGGGAGGACCTTAAACACGACTTAAAAAGAACATGATAAACACTGACCAGTGTGGTTCAGCAGCTTGGGCACCATCCCGCAAAGTGAAAGGTCGCCGGTTCGGCCCCCCGTCAGGGCACATGCCTAGGTTGCTGGCCAGGTCCCTGGGTCCGGGCACATGTGAGAGGCAACCGATCAGTGTTTGTTTCTCACCTGGATGTTTTGCTCCCTCCCTCCCCCCTCTCTAAAACTAAATAAATAAAATCTTTTTTAAAAGCAAATGCTATCCCATGTTAGAAAGTGATGCCTGCCGTGGGCGGAGTGGGGGGTGCAGAGCAGAGTGAGGGGCCTTGGTGTGAGTGACAGGAGGGCGGGACGAGAGGCCGGACTGGCTGTCCAGATGAGAAGATGAGACCTTCAGGAGCCCGGGAGCGGGGAGCCAGCTGGGCTGGCAATGCAATAGAGAGAACAAGGGCAGGACCGAGGCCGAAGGCAGAGCCTGTGGGTCGGCCCAGCTGGGTGGGAGAGTGAGGGGCTGGAGGACACGAGATCGGGGGTGAGCCCCTCGGGGGCCAGGCCAAGCCCGGTCCTGCTCACTGCAGTGTTCCCTTATTTCAAGGGATCCACTGAGGAGCAGTGAGGGAAGTAAGCTCTGCCGTTACAAGACATGCAGACACGTGATTTCTTTAAACCCCTCTCCCTGCTTCCCCAAGTCCACATTCCACCAGAACTTTCTGACACTCAGACTGGATCACACCACTTACTCAGAAACTTCCAGCGGCCTGTGAGACACAGTCCAAAGAGACACAGTTCTGCGTGTCACCTCCCCCACATGGCTGTCTTGCCCCCTCAACACACTCCACGCTCCAGCCACAGAGCGACAGACAGCAGGCAGCCCGGGCTTGGCAACACAAACGGCTACAGTTACACACCCCGCCCCCCGTCTCTTCTCTGCAAACGCCCACTTAACCTCCTGCACACACACCGTGTTCCCTCCTCTGGGCAGACTCGGTGGAAGCGCCTTCACGAGCTGTGTCTCCGCTGTTCTCGTTGCAGCACATCGTACCCCAGGGCAGTTACTTTGTGTGCACGGTTGGTAAGTGGCATTCTCGCAGTGTCGGGAAAAACGCACTCTCCAGCTACTCGCGCTGGCCGGGGAGAAGGATGCTCGGCGTCGGTGGTCCCCCAGCATGGGTGCACGGACCAGTGCCACGCTGGCGTCACAGGAACTTGGGGAGTTTAAGGAAAAAAGGTCACTGGGGCCCACCCCAGCCCCAATGATCAGAAAGTCAAGAGTGGCACCAAATCATCTATTTTCTTAAACTCCCCAGGTGAACCCAACGCTTAGCAAAGTCTGGGAACAATGCCCAAAATGACTTCAAGGGTCCCTCGCTCTGCTAAGACGCTGCCCGCCATCTCTCCAGTGGTGACACCATCTCAAGGGCAATGCGAGCCGGGAACGTCAAAGGATTTTAGCATGGATTTCTTTCATGTCAAAAAACAAAACGGAGGACTTCCGGCCAAGATGGAAGTAGACACACTGTGCCTCCTCGAAGGACCAAAAGAAGGTCGACAACAATTTAGAAACAAAATAACAACCAGAACTGACAGAAAATTGAAGTGGATGGAAGTCCGAGGACCCAGGAGTGAAAGTAGACACATTCATCCAGACAGGTAGGGGCGGGGCAGAGTCGGGGGGCCTAGCGGAGAGGGGTCCAGGCAAAGCCGCCGCTGGCGGACCCTGGCAGCAGTTGGGGAGGGGAGTGGGGGGGAACCAGGGAGACCACAGATAGTGGAGAGCACGGCGTGCAAGGCGGCAGTGGGCAGGTGGCAGCAGAGGGTGGGTGGCCTTACATTTGCACGCAGATAAACCAGGTGAAACTGGGGAGTGAGACAGACTGTGCAACCCAGAGCTCCAGCAGGGAAATAAAGCCTCAGAACAACAACTGAAAACACCTGTGGGGGTTGAGGTGCCGGGAAAGACTCCCAGTCTCATAGGAGAGTTTGTTGGAGAGACCCACAGGGTCCTAGAATGTACACAAGCCCACCCACTTGGGGACCAGCACCAGAAGGGCCCATTTGCTTGGGTGAAGTGGCGAAAATGAGTGAAATTGGCAGAGAGCAGAGCAAGTGCCACTGTTCCCTCTCGGACCCTTCCCCACGGACAGCATCACAATGCAGGGACGTGGGTTACCTCTGCTGGGTGAGCACCTAAGGCTCCACCCCTCACACATAACAGGCGTGCTTGGAGACAAAAAAAAAGGGGGGGGGGCAAATGAAAGAACAGATCAAAGCTACAGGAAAAACACAACTAAGCAACAAAGAAATAGCCAACCTATCACATGCACAGTCCAAAACACTGGTCATCAGGATGTTCACAAAATTGGTTGAATTTGGTCGCAAATTAGATGAAAAAATGAAGGCTACACTAAGTGAAATAAAGGAAAATGCACAGGGAACCAATAGTGATGGGAAGGAAACTGGGACTCAAATCAATGGAGTGGACCAGAAGGAAGAAAGAAACAACCAAACTGAAAAGAATGAAGAAACAAGAATTCAAAAAAATGAGGAGAGGCTTAGGAACCTCCAGGACATCTCTAAACGTTCCAACATCTGAATTATAGGGGTACCAGAAGGGGGAGGGGAAGAGCAACAAGTGGAAAAGTTATTTGAACAAATAATAAAGGAGAACTTCTCTAATCTGGCAAAGGAAATAGACTTCCAGGAAGTCCAGGAAGCTCAGAGAGTCCCAAAGAAATTGGACCCAAAGAGGAACACACCAAGGTACATCATAATTACATTAGTGAAGATTAAAGATAAGGAGAGGATCCTAGAAGCAGCAAGAGATAAGGAGACAGTCACCTACAAAAGTGTTCCCATCAGACTGTCAGCTGATCTCTCAAAAGAGACCTTACAGGCAAGAAGGGGCTGGAAGTATTCCAAGTCATGAAAGGCAAGGACCTACATCCAAGATTGCGCTATCCAGCCAAGCTTTCATTTAGAATGGAAGGGCAGATAAAGTGCTTCTCAGATAAAGTCAAGTTAAAGGAATTCATCATCACCAAGCCCTTATATAGGAAATGTTAAAGGGACTTATCTAAGAAAAAGAAGATAAAAAACATGTACAGTAAAATGACAGCCAACTCACGATTATTAACAACCACACCTAAAACAGAAACCAACTAAGCAAACAACTAGAACAGGAACAGAAACACAGAAATGGAGATCACACGGAGGGTTAGCAACAGGGAACGGGGAGGAGGAAAGAGGTACAGAGAATAAGTAGCATAGACGTAGGTAGAAAATAGACAGGGGGAGGGTAAGAACAGTATGGGAAATGTAGCAGCTAAAGAACTTATAAGTGTGGCACATGGACATGAACTAAAATGGGGGGATATGGGTGGGAGAGGGTGTGCAGGGTGGAGGGGAGTGAAGAGGGGGAATTGGACAACTGTAATAGCATAATCAATAAAATATATTAAAAAAATAAAATAAAACACACACACACACAAAATTACCCTGGCTGGTGTGGCTCACTGGATTGGTCGTAGGCCTGAGAACCAAAGGGTTGCTGGTTTGATTCCCAGTCAGGGCACATGCCTGGGTTGCAGGCCAGGTCCCCAGTGGGGGGGCATGTGAGAGGCAGCCACTCATTGATGTTTCTCTCCTTTTCTCCGTCCCTTCCCCTCTCTCTAAAAACAAATAAATACAATCTTTTAAAGAAAAAGAACATAATTAAAAAAAACAAAACGAAATGAACAAACCAAGTGAAGTGGATGAAACTTTACTGGTCCTGGCTGTTTGTTTTTGAAAATTTAAGCAGTCTGGGCCAGTTGGGGAAATGTGCACAGCTCAGACATCAGAATAAGAGGGAATTAATTTCCTGGACGTGACCGTGAGGAACTGTGGTTTCTGAGGAGAGCGACCTCAATGTCGGGAGGCGCAGGCTGACATTCTCAGGGGTGGAGTGCCAGCAACCTGCTCTCAAATGGTTAAGCACAGGGAAAAAAAGATAAAGCAAATACAAAAAAAAAGTTAACTCTGCTGTGCAACTGTTCTGTATGTTGAAAATTTCTGGTGATGAAAAGCTAGACACGACAGAAAGGCACAGTGGCACGAACGGCCACGGAGGCCCCGCGGCTGCCGCACAGGCCAGGAGGCCTCGGCCGGGCAGACTGGGCAGAGCGGCACTGGGGGTCCGAGGGCGTGGCCTCGGCTCCCGGGAGTCCTGCGGAGGGATCTTTGCAGCCTTGGGGACTGCTCAGGGACCGTCCTGCTCCCCGGTTCAGACAGAGAACCAGGCTCCGCATGCGCAGCAACCCTCCTGGTAAGCGGCACTGGGAGAGCCAAGGCCTGTGCGTGGGAGAGTTTTAAAGGGCGTGAAGCCCCAGTTTCACGGTCCAGCACCTACTCCACAGAGGCAGCTCGAAGCAGAGGCTTTGGAGTGAGGACTGGCCTGGGCCCACTGCTGCCTCCAGCCTCTTCCCAGCCGGGCCTGCTGGGCCCTGTTCATTCACCCAGTCAACAGTTCATGGAATAGCGGCCGGGTGCCAGGCACTGGCTGAGCTTCAAATGCCCCAAGGCCACGGTCTTCGGGCACATAAAGTGGGGTGACCAGAGCATGTCCTTTGGGGTGGGAGAGTTAGTAAGGAGAGCTGAGTCTGGCACCCGGGTCGCCCAACACTGTCGACGACCTACCAGAAAGGTGGCTCGCACAGCATGGCTGCTTCTGGCAGGCACTCTGCCCCCGGAGGTCTGCCCTTCCTCTTTAGTCAGGAAGAACTACTGCTGCTTCTGGGTGAGGATGGCAGACTGTCTGCCCGCATCTCAGTTTGCTCCCTCCTGAAACCTCACTGAAAGGGCAAGACGTTCCTCATGACAGAGAACACAGATGAGGAGGCAGCGATGGCTGGAAGCTGGAAGCAAGCGGACAGTGATGACCGACTGGGCACACCCGAGAGGGTGGAACGCCCGGGCCAGCGGCAGAGACGCTGAGCACCCAACCCAGGAGAGACCTGGGGCACCAGTTGGAAAAGTCAGATCCCAGATCCTGTCTCTTTTCTCTTTAAGGTGCTGGCAACTGCCTCGCCCACACCCTAGCAGGAGTCTGAGGGTTCTTCCTGTTTCTCATGTTCTGGCCTGGGGGACATCAGCCCCAAAGGAAGAGGCAGGTATCACCCTGAAAACAGGACACGGGGGCCCACGGCTCCTCTGTCCCAGCTCAGGAGACTGGCAGCCGGACCCTTTCCTTCCAGACAGGAACGTGGAAAACGACACAGAGAAAGGAAATTGAAATCATTATAAATGCAGAGGTTAGAGAACATGACATCTGTTCACAGGACAGGATGCTCCACTGCTTCTTGGCCTGCTGCCTAAGATCAGGTGAAGAACAGGATGCAGCATAAGAAACATTCAGACTAAAAAACAGCCTCTGGAAATTAAAAATAGAATCATGAAAATTTTGTTTAAAAAAATCCAAATACGTGGGTTGGGAGATGAAAGTTAAGAAAATCTACCGGTATATAGCAGTTGGAAACAGAAGGACACAAGTAAGAAGATTAGAGGAGCTTTACGAGGTCACATCTAAACATCAGGTGTCTCGGAAGAGAGGCTACAGACACAACAGGGGGGAGAAAATGACAAAATATTTCAAGAAAATTACCCCCAACAGCAGTTTTAAAGGGCCCATCAAATACTCAACCGAACAGATGGAAACAGACTAAGATGCATGGTTTTAAATGTTGAAGCATGGGTCGAAGTGCAGATTCTAGGAGTTCATAAAGAGGGGAAGAAAAACAGGTCCCATAAAAAGGACTGAGAATCATAACAGCTTAGAATCCTCAAAAGCAACACTAGAGGCAGGATGACAATGAAGCAAAACTTCACAATTCTGAAGGAAATGTATTTCCAACTAAAATGCTATTACCGGCCAAAATATCAGTCAAGTATGACGACAGAATCAAAGCGCACGCAGACAGGCACAGTCTCCGAAAAGGGCTCCTCTTCTTGTCAGGGAGCTGCTGCCGCCTGAGCCACCATGTCAACAGAGAGGCTGCAGGAAGATCCGACGCGGGAGGGCTGCGCGGAGCCAGCTGTGCCTGCAGAGGAGGAGGGTCGACAGGCCGGACGGAGGCGGTGCCACTTCATGCAGACCTGTCCTGGCTGCTATGGCAGCTTTCTAATATGAGAGCTGAATGCCCCTGAACTTGGCCCAGATTTCCATCTGCACTCCGCTCGGCGGCTTGACCTTGGTCACGTGCTGAGGCAGGTCCCTCAGTGCTTCCAGCCCTGCAGCCTGCCTCAGCAGAGGACCGTCACTTCCTGCACAGAAGGGTCCCACACAGAAGGGCCCTGCAGGAAGGCCGGGTGAGCTCGCAGCAGAAACACGGGGTGCCCTGCACCCTAGGACTGCATCTCCTGGGCACTGCATGGCTGCTGTCCTGGCCGTTCCTGGCCCACACTGGAGTCCTCCAGGTGCCCCCTCACCGGGAATCCCATTTCCTGGGACCCACTCCTGTCGCTGCCCACTGACTCCCTCAGCAAGGGCCCCCGTGAAAGGCAGGGAGGCTGCAGCTGTTCTGTCCCACTCATCTCTTCCTGGAGGCCCTCTAACAGCGACAGTCCCTCCCTCACACAGCTGGGTGTGTGCTCACAGCTACGGCACAGAATTTAATCTCACGTTCGGAAAGCTCTGGCAATTCCCACAAAGCCTGCTTGGATCTCATCTGCCCTGGGGGGTGGGGGGAGGAACTTTGTTGCCACAGTTTCTTTAATGAAAAATCCACTGTTAATAAAGGCGCCGTTTATAGTTGAGTAAGCTTTGCATTTAACTGTAGAAATTAACAGGGTGTTATGATTTTGTATGCTGGTAGAAAAATTAATCCAAAAGGTATGATTTTGTTGCTCTTTGGAACATTAACCAGTTGTATGTAACTCAGCAACTTTACCGAGGCATTCCTTTCCCTAAATACCACATAAATACCTGCTCCTTAAACCCTCTTCAGACCAGCTCTTTGCAGCACTCTTAATAATGGTGAAAGAACTTTAAAACATGCTCACCATCTACTTGGAAAAGAATTTAGTTTTTAACACCATTCATTCAAAGCGGAATATATTATGAGGATATGTTTGTGTGTGTGCACATGTACATGGCTGTAAATATGTATGTACATGTGAATATTTATACAGTGATGTGTAAAGTTTATTTTAAAAGGAAGAGAGTCCTGACTGGTGTGGCTCAGTGGACTGAGCACTGGCCTGGGAACCAAAGGGTCACAAGTTCTGTTCCCAAGCAGGTCACACGTCTGGGTTGTGGGGCGGGTCCCCAGTAGGGGGTGCAAGAGAGGCAACCACACATTGATGTTTCTCTCCCTCTCTTTCTCCCTCCCTTCTCCTCTCTCTAAAAATAAATAAATAAAATATTTTTTTAAAAAATCAAGAGAAAGATTAACCAAATAATCAGGACAGAGGCTACTCCTAGAAGAAGGATGTAAATGTTTCGTTTCTTAATCTGGTGCTAGATACAGTGACAATCATCGCAGTAGTATTCTTTCAATTAAATACACATACCTATTTTACACATTTTTTGTACCTGAGACTCATTTCGCAATAAGAGAAACTTATTTAAACAGAGAACAAGAAGTTCTGTTACAGTTGGCTATTCAAGGGGATCCCCACCAGATGGTATCACACACAGTGTGGACTTTTCCTGCAGGCCCGCTCGCTCCACTCTGTTCATTCTGGTCAGACCAGTCAAGTGAGTCCATATGACCTTGAAGTCAATGCCACTGAGGGTAACAAGGTTAATAAATTCGCCATTATTTAACCTAGTCCTCAAGTTTTTCTTTACTCAATCTCTAAATATGAAAAAAAACTTTTAAGAAATGCATTCAAATCATAGAAAATTAGCTTCTGCTTTTACTTTATAAAATCCTTTCACTTATAAAAAGATTCTCAATGAAAAGAGCATTAAATTTACACTGATCTGTCTAAACTATGTACTTAAGCTTGGATAAACAATGTGGAAAGGATTTTTGTGCAGCAGGGTTTTTAATGGCTAACACCCAGAATCAACCAAAATGTCCACCAGTGAGACTGACAAAAGAATGGAGTACCTCCCAACAACAGCACACCATGCATTTGGTCGGTCTACGGTATTGATACAAAAATGTGTCCTCATAGGAAGCCAGGTGCCCAACAGCATTAGGGTATGATCCCTTTCTTGGGAGTGGAATTCAGCATGTGCAGGATGCAAAGTGAAGATACAAGCAATTCTAACTTCTTGCTTAATATACTTCTATGCTGTATGAATTTTTTACGTGTTCTCCTGTGATATTAAAAGAAACTTACAACCTGAATATATCACTATAATCCATTAAAAGAAGCAAATAAGGGTGAGACGATCGGACAAAGTCAGTACCTTGGCTCCAGAAAAGAATTCAGGAAAGGCCTGCCAGCTAAGGCAGCCTAATCCTAGTGGGCCGAGGAGGGGGTGGGGAGGGCGTGTCTCCGGAAGAGGAAAACTACAGCCTCCCCCGCCCCTTCTCAAGAAACCGGCTTTTCCAGCCGCATCAATACTCAAGATAAGTTTTGATTTTTCACTGTAAGAGGGAAGAGCCACTACGCTGTATGCCTAAACTAATACAAACAATGGTGAACGTAAACTGTAGTTGAAAAATAATAATGAAGGAAGAATCTTGCAACTCTATTACCGGTAAAAATGCTTAACGTTTGTTCTACGTGTGACACCTACGCAGGTCGGAAAGAAGAGAAGGCAGCTCTGAAGTAACTGCAGAGCTGTTACTTCAGAGTAACTACTGGGAAGAGGGGTGCCCAGCCTGGGAGTCAGAGCCTCGGGGGCTGTTAGGTTTTCGGGACTGAGTGCAGGTAGGTGCGTCTGAGAGAAACGGTGGACATTCCGAAAACAAATTCACGTCTTTGGAAGCACAGTGTTGGTGACACATTCATTCCACTGGGAGGCTCGAATCCCCCTACACATACACACACACACACACGCGCGCGCGCGCGCGCGCACACACACACACAGCCTGGGCTTACAAAAGGTCATATATTCATTCACCCTTCAGGATAAGCACCTCCCTGTAGTTAACTCGGAAGCCAACTCATTTGCTGGAAAACGAAAATGGTCCTCCCCGGCACGACTGCCACCCATAGCAGCAATTCTCTGCTGCCCCATATCAGAAAGGACACTCACACGGTAGGACTCATTCTCGAGAGAATGCGAATCTTCTCCCCTTTCCCTACTCCCGCGTGGACAGTGGCGGAAAAGTCCCCAAGACGCTGACAACACTCCCAGCCAAGGTTCAGAGCCACCGGGAGGGACGACGGAGCCCTGAGCTGCCACGACGCCCCCTGCTCGTGCCCCGTCCCCCCGCCTGCCGCCCTAGGAAGCCGGAAGGCTCGACAGGCAAACCTCCCAGGACCTCCCAGTGCAGCCATCCGACCGCGACCGGACGCGGAGGTGCGACCCTAACCCGGCCGGCCGTAGGGGACGCGGCTGGGCCGAAGGGGGCGGCGGAGGCCCCCAACCCGCAAGCTGGCTCCGCCGGACACGCCGCACTCCACAGGCCCGGAGACCCGCTGGTCGGGGGTGCCTCCCCGCGCGCGTGCGCCCCGGGGGCCGGCGGACGGCACTCACCCGGCTCCCACGACACCCACGGCGACCCCAGGGGTGCGCAGAGTGTTAAGATGCTGCGCGGCAGCCGAGCAGACAAGCTCTGCCTCACTTCGGCCCCGGGATCTGGGAGCGGAGGGCGGGGGCAAGGGAGAGCGCTGCCGGGGAGGGGCGGGGCGCGGCGCCGTGCGCACTGCAGTGACCAATCAGCGTGCAGTAAGTAACCTGTCAGGGGCGGGTCGGGTCGGGGGCGGGGTTAGACTCTAGGGGGCGGGGCGAGGACGCCTGTGATCCGATGGTCGCCCGCTGGACTGCGGGCTGGGAGTCTCGCATTAGGTTAGGGTTGGCCCCTCCCGCAGTCTTCTACTGCGGACTTCAAGTGCTGCACCGGTACGACCCTGTGCGGGGGCGGGGGGCGGGGAACACCCAAAAGCAGAAGACAGGGGCTCCCTTTGCCTTTCCCCATAGACCCAACGGCGTTGGCCGCGACCTGCCCAGAGTAGGTCCCATGCTCCAGGGGTGTTCTCAGAAGCTCAGGTCTGCAGAGACGTTGCCCTTCTCAATCGGCGATCCACGGAAATGGGGACCTAGAAAGGGGAAGTAAGACTACTAACTAGTATCGTAACACTGGGCGTCCAGCACAACATAACTAGTCTCCTGATACTGTCCTCGTGCTTTTCCCAGCCACCCACCCAGATTTTTAGGTTTCTTATAGTAAGGTCTTTTCCTACTGTCTCCTTTAAAAACGTGGTATCTTGAATTTTCAGCATAACTTTACCAGCCTTGGAAAGCCCCATCTAAATGTCCTACAGAATATAAAACATCGTTTGGTTAGTTGAGTAAAACACATTGTGTAATTACAGATATTATCAACTCGAATCAAAAAGAGTTTTCCCTTGAAGAATAATGAAATAAAAGTTTTGTATCACAAAATGCCATACTCTTATACTCTTGTTACTCCTGGATCTCAGTATACACGTAAGAGGAACAATCCACTTTTTGTTATTTTTCTACTCTCTCTCAGTTCTTATTTTCATGCACATTATTATTTTGTCAATTGTCAAATAATACATTTATAGTGCATTGCCCATTATCCTGATACATGTGCTAGGATCTAGGTGCTCAATAAATGTTTGCTTAATAAATTACTTTTGAAATATGTGCGACCTTTAAAAAGGTTAAATTAAATTGCTGACCTATAAAGGTTGGCTTTTTACAAATAAGTCTTATGCCCTAGTTGGTGTAGTTCAGTGTATTGAGTGCTGGCCTGTGCACCAAAGGGTCCCCAGTTGGATTCCGAGTCAGGGCTCATGCCTGGGTTCCAGGCAGGGTCCCCAGTCCTGGGCATGCAAGAGTCAACCACACACTGATGTTTCTCTTTCTCCCTCCCTTCTCCTCTCTCTAAAGATAAATAAATAAAGTCTTTAAAAAATCTTTTTTTAAAAAAAAATATTTTATTTATTTATTTTTAGAGAGAGGGGAAGGGAAGGAGAAAGAGTGGGAGAGAAACATCAATGTGTGGTTGCCTCTTGTGAGTCCCCTGCTGGGAACTGGCCTGTAACCCAGGCATGTGCCCCGACTGGGAACCGAACCGTGATACTCTGGTTTGCAGGTCCGCGCTCAATCCACTGAGCTACACCAGCCAGGGCTAAAAAATCTTTAAAAAAAGAAAAAAGCAAGCAAAATATAACCAGAGACATTGAAATTAAGAACACTTTTACGGACTATAGAAATGATCCCTGAAAGTATAGTCTTAAGAACACTTTTACAATAGCTGGGGGGGTGGGCAGTGGAGGGAAGGATTTTTATGAACTACTATAAAGGACACATGGGCAAAACCAAGGGGGAGGATGGAAGCAAGGGCCGAAGGTGGGTTTAGCTGGAGTGGGGGGGGGGGGTTGTGGGGGGAAATGCAGACAACTGTAATTGAACAACAATGAAATAAGTTTTAAAAATAAGTTTTAAAATCTTCTGTTTTGATCATTGTATTGGTATTAGGCTTGACTGAGAGTAGCAGGGGAAAACAACCACAGAATAACAGTGGCTTAAGCAAAATATTAGTATTTCCCTTTTGTGTTTAAAAAGTCCAAAGTTAGTCTGGAAATGGTCTGGCAGTTCATAGACATAGATCCAGCCTCCTTGCCCCATCCAAGGAAACCACATGTATATTTATTTATGTCCATAAACATTCCTTTAAAATATATGGACATTTGGAAGATATCAGGTTCCATGCCCACTATCATCTCATGGTCTAAAAGAGTTGCCATAGCTCCAGCCATTGTTCCTGCATTCCACTCAGCAGAAGACAAAGAAGGAAACATTCCTCTCTTTCAAACTTTTCCAAAAGGTTGAATATGCCTTTTCTGCTTTTGTTGTGCTGATAAAAGTCACTTAGCTACACTAAACTATAAGGAAGGCTAAAAACTAGGGTTTTGTTATGGAAAGAAGAGGGGGAAGAATGGATATTGGTAGAAAAGTAGGAGTTTCTACTATAGTCTTCAATCTCATCGCTTTTTAAAGTATTAAGTATTTTAATATTCCCCAACATTTTGTAAAGCTTTTACAGAAGACTCCCTGTTAGAAAGTGCTTATCTACACATTTGAAGAGAGATGTTACCACTGATCTACCATTAGGATGTACATGCTTTGAGTTGCTTTTCCAGAAGTAAGTAGCAACCAACACTAAGGTAGTTTACTTCTCTCCCATTCTACAAACTGTTTCACAAAGAGAGTCAAACATGCATTTGAAAGATACTGGGATTAAGTTGCTGAGGCCAACGTTTCAGTGTAGGCATTTCAAATGTACTAAAATTGCAAATCAGGCTAAAAAAATACTCCGCACATGCCCTGATTGCATTCGATTGCTATCTAAATATTGGTATTCTGTTAAATTACCTGAGGACCCTGGAAGGTCTCTCCTAGATTCTGGACTCTTTGAGACTTCACAACCATGTTCAGGTTTGCGCCAGAACAGGTTCTAAAAGGCCTGCCTTAGCCCTGGCCAGGTGGTCAGTTGCTTGGAGCATCATCCTGTAAACCAAAAAGCCGAAGCTTCGACTCCCATTCAGGTTACATACCTGGGTCATGGGCCAGGTCCCCTGTGGGGGGCATGTGAGAGGCACACATTGATGTTTCTCTCCCTCTCCTTCTCCCTCTTGTCCCCTGTCTAAAAATAAATAAATAATTTTCTT